AATTCTCAATAGGCACAGACTATTCCATTTTTGGTCAAAACACAAAAGTTCACACTAATGAGGCTAAATGTGGAGTTTCCATGTCGAAGCTTCAACTAATGAACATGTAACACATCCTTCTAGTGCCTTTCCTTTTTCCAAGCAGGATTTTATTTTACTTTATTTTTCTCAGCATTGGTTTACAGTTTTGACTTTGCTAAACATCTCTCGTTTCATGGCAATGTAAAGCATCAAGGGAACACAGTGACTCTTGACACGTTCATTGGCTCAAATGACAAGAATCATACCGCCAAGGTCAAACAGATAAGAATTGCTACAGAGGTTCAAATCTGACTGCACAGGAACTGTGTTTGCACAGCTTGCAGCTTTATAGTTAAAGAAAAAAGAATAAAGATATGCTCAAGTAGTTAAAACAGTTTTGAAACAACTCCTTTTTTTTTACAAACTTTCACAATCTGGAGGTAGAAGTCCTATTAATCTCTACACGGCTGCCTTGATAAGTCGCAATTCATTCTTGCATAAATCAGGCTCAGAACAAATGGTATTGGTCAATATCAGTTTTGTGTAGTTAGCTAAAACATGCAAAAATGGTCTTCATAGGAAAAAATGTGAATTTTATTTAGTATTCATAAAAATTATGCTACATGAAGCTGCTTCTTTTTGCATCATTCTACCACCCAGAAGGCCTCTGGAGCGGGGGAGGATGAGCACATCTCATCTGGTTGGCGTGGTTTCCTGTCCGGCGTTGGTCTGTCCATCCCTGCAAGCGTCTGTCGCCTTGCTCCACCTGCCCTACGTCTGGGCCACCATCGAATGCTCCAAAGCAAAGCCCCCGAGGTCCCAGAGCATGTCCTAAGGTTGGCAGGGGTCGGACCGGGCAAGCTGAGGGCAGAATGGTGCCTCCCAGGGTTTGTAACCATGTTCCTGCCTGAATTCCCCCACAGATCAGTGCCTGGGCATGAATACTTTCAGGTAGAAATCAGAAATCACCAAAACAATAACACCTGATGGCCTTTTATGTTCTCTCTGTCTTAATATTTTTATCTTCACCTCCAGGTGTTGGGTTACATCGCCAAAGGTTCCTTTGGGCCAATTCTGAAAGTTAAGGACAAAACCAGGCAGAAAACTTTTGCTGTCAAAGTGAGTTTATTCAATTTCAGATGATAACGATGTCAAAGGCTACACAACCTCCAGTGGCTTTTTTGCATAGAAATAAAACTTCAAAAACAAATTTTGTTTATACCAAATTATTCAAATTTAAAGTTGTTTTTTATTGGTGTTTATATCCACCGACAGGTTATACCTAAATCTGAGATTCTACGACTTGGAGTCTTGGATCAGTCAAAAGAAGAAGTAATTGTTCAGGTGCGTACTGCTTTAACATACATTGAACTACTAAATTCAGCAAATTTCTTTGAACTGATTATCTACTCTGAGGGTCTTTGAAAACAAATCCTTATTGTGAAAATATTTTTAACTGACCTGACTTTTTTTATCAGAATTGAATATTTAATCTTAGTTTTAAAATATTAAATGGAAAAGAAAATATTGTTGTGTGAAGTGTTGATGTATGCAGATGATGTGTTATTGTATAGCTCTTATTAATGAAAAATTGCTTTAGGGTGTAACAAGCTTCCTATTTTCTAGAGGTGAAAATCACTAGTTTGATCACAATATTATATTCATACTGTGGATTGCGATTTGATGTTTGCTAATATCTCAGATTAAGTCACAATACCATTTCGATTTGACTTGATTTAGGACTCACCGATTTATATGAAACATAACAAGATATTGAACTTAATTTCCCAGGGGAGAGACTCTTTCTTGACAAACTGTTTTCTCATTGTTCCCCATGACGACGCCATATTCTTAAAGAGCAAGTCACCCCCACCAGAGTATTACTCCACTCCCACACTTCCTGTTTGAAAAATGCAACAAATGCTGTTGCCTAGCAGACCGAGAAGGCGGAGCCGCTAACAAATACACGCACACACAGGCTCACAATGACATTGTGACATCATACGGTACCAGCTAACATTCTAGGTTACACTCTTAGCCAATAGTAATGGCAGATTTAAATTCAAATGCATTGCAGAGTTTTTACCTGACAATGGCACAACACTGACAGTTTTAGGCAAACATTTTTAAGTTTAACTAAAATGCACTAAAGTGCAAAACTATTGACTACAGATGTCTGCAGCATGATAAGACGCATATTTATATAGTTTATCAGAAAGAAAAAGTTGTTTTGGGGTGACTTGCTCTTTAAATTACGGTAACACGTTTGGTGATGAGCAGGAACAGGTGGAAAAGGACATGTCAGCCGAACATTAAAAAGTAGAGCAGTTTTCAAAATAAAATTAGTCATTGTTATCGTCGTCCTCCGCTTATCCGGTCCGGGTCGTGGGGGCAGCATCCCAACTAGGGAGCTCCAGACCGTCCTCTCCCCAGCCTTCTCCACCAGCTCATCCTGCAGGACCCCAAGGCGTTCCCAGACCAGATTGGAGATGTAACCTCTCCAACGTGTCCTGGGGCCGACCCGGGGGCCTCCTGCTGGCAGGACATGCCCGAAACACCTCCCCAGGGAGGCGTCCAGGAGGCATCTTGACCAGATGCCCAAACCACCTCAACTGGCTCCTTTCGATCCAAAGGAGCAGCGCTTCTACTCTGAGTCCCTCTCGAATGTCCGAGCTCCTCACCCTATCTCTAAGGCTGAGCCTGGCTACCCTACGGAGGAAACTCATTTCGGCCGCTTGTATCCGCGATCTCGTTCTTTCGGTCATTGCCCAAAGCTCATGACCATAGGTGAGGATTGGGACGTAGATCGACCGATAAATCGAGAGCCTGGCTTTCTGGCTCAGCACACTCTTCACCACGATAGATCGGCTCAGCGTCCGCATCACTGCAGACGCTGAACCAATCTGCCTGTCGATCTCTCGATCCCTCCTGCCCTCACTTGTGAACAAGACCCCGAGATACTTAAACTCCTCCACTTGAGGTAGGACCTCTCCCCCGACCCGGAGTTGGCAAGCCACCCTTTTCCGGTCGAGAACCATGGTCTCAGATTTGGAGGTGCTGATCCTCATCCCAGCCGCTTCACACTCGGCCGCGAACCTACCCAGCAAGAGCTGAAGGTCAAAGCTGGATGAAGCTAGGAGGACCACATCATCCGCAAAAAGCAGAGACAAGATTCTCCTGCCACCAAACTCGACACACTCCACACCACAGCTGCGCCTAGAAATTCTGTCCTTAAAGGTAATGAACAGAACCGGTGACAAAGGGCAGCCCTGGCGAAGTCCAACCCTCACTGGGAACAGGTCCGACTTCCTACCGGCTATGCGGACCAAACTCACGCTCCTCTGGTAAAGGGACTGATTGGCCCTTAACAGAAAGCCACCCACCCCATACTCCTGGAGCGTCCCCCACAGGGTGCCCCTGGGGACACGGTCATAAGCCTTCTCCAAATCCACAAAACACATGTGGATTGGTTGGGCAAACTCCCATGCCCCCCCCCCCCCCCCCCATCACCCTTGCAAGGGTATAGAGCTGGTCCACAGTTCCACGGCCAGGACGAAAACCACATTGCTCCTCCTCAATCTGAGATTCAACTATCGATCGGACCCTCCTCTCCAGTACCTTGGAGTAGACCTTTTCAGGGAGGCTGAGGAGTGTGATCCCCCTATAGTTGGAACACACACTCAGGTCACCCTTCTTAAAGATGGGGACCACCACCCCGGTCTGCCACTCCACAGGAACTGCCCCCGATGACCACGCAGTGTTGCAGAGACGTGTCAACCATGACAGCCGTACAACATCCATAGCCTTGAGATACCCAGGACGAACCCCATCCGCCCTCGGGGCTCCGCCGCTGTGTAGTTGTTTGACTACCTCAGCAAATTCTGCCCCCGAGATTAGACAGTCCATCCCCAGGTCTCCCGGCTCTGGTTCCTCCTCGGAACGCACATAGGTGGGATTGAGGAGCTCCTCAAAGTATTCCTTCCACCGTCCGACTATAGCCCCAGTTGACGTCAGCAGCTCCCCATCCCCACTGTAAACAGTGTGAGCGAGTTGCTGCCTTCCTCTCCTGAGGTGCCGGACATTTTGCCAGAACCTCTTTGGTGCCTCACCAAACTCCTCCCACGCCCAAGATTTTGCCTCGGCAACTGCCACTGCTGCACCCCGCTTGGCTATCTGGTATCTTTCTGCTGCCTCCGGAGATCCACAGACCAGCCACGCCCTGTAGGCCTCCTTCTTCATGCTGATGGGTCCCCGAACCTCTGGTGTCCACCAGCGGGTAAGGGGGTTGCCACCACGACTGGCACCGGCCACCTTGCGACCACAGCTAGCAACAGCCGCCTCAACAATTGCAGAGTGGAACAAGGCCCACTCGGAGTAAATGTCCCTCACTGCTCTCGGGACGCGGTCAAAGCTCTGCCGGAGGTGGGAGTTGAAGACCGTCTTAACAGGTTCTTCTGCCAGGCGTTCCCAGCAGACCCTCACTATGCGTTTGGGTCTGCCAGGTCTATGCGGCATCTTCCCCTGCCATCTGATCCAGCTCACCACCAGGTGGTGATCAGTTGACAGCTCCGCTCCTCTCTTCACTCGGGTGTCCAAAACATATGGCCGCAGGCCAGATGATATGACTACAAAGTCTATCATCGACCTGCGTCCTAGGCTGCCCTGGTACCAAGTGTACCGATGGGCATCCTTATGTTCTAACATGGTGTTCGTTATGGCCAAACTGCGGCTTGCACAGAAGTTCAATAACGAAACACCACTCAAGTTCAGATCAGGCGGGCCGTTCCTCCCAATCACACCCCTCCAGGTCATGCTGTCATTGCCCTTGTGAGCATTGAAGTCCCCCAGCAGGACAATGGAGTCCCCTGATGGAGCACTATCTAGCACTCGTCCCAGGGACTCCAAAAAGAGTGGGTACTCTGTACTGATATTTGGTCCATAAGCACAAACAACAGTTAGGACTCGTTCCCCGACCCGAAAGCGCAGGGAAGCTACCCTCTCGTCCCCCGAGGTAAACCCCAACACACAGGCAGAGAGTCTCGGGGCTGACAAAAGGCCAACCCCAGCTCTTAACCTCTCACCTGGAGCAACTTCAGCAAAGGAGAGTGTCCAACCCCTCTCAAGGACTTGGGTTCCAGAGCCAATGCTATGTGTCGAGGTGAGTCAGACTATATCTAGCCGGTACCGCTCAACCTCTGCCACAAGCTCCTGCTCCTTCCCTGCCAGCGAGATGACGTTCCATGTCCCAAAAACCAGTTTTCTTGTCCGGGGATCGGACCGCCAAGGCTACCGCCTTGGTCTGCCACCCGATCCACATTGCACCAGACCCTTCATGTTCCTCCTGCGGGTGGTGGGTCCACAGTTGGATGAGCCCATGTATCCGGTTCGGGCTGGGCCCGGCCGGGCCCCATGGGTGAAATCTCGGCCACCAGGCACTCGCTCACGGGCCCCAACCCCAGGCCTGGCTCCAGGGTGGGACCCCAGTAACCCTCCGGGCCGGGTACTCCGACTCTTTGAATTTACTACCGTGAAAGATTCTGTGAACCGTTCTTTGTTTCACCCTTCACCTAAGACCAATTTGTCATGGGAGACCCTACCAGGGGCACAAAGTGCCCGAGACAGCATAGCTCCTAGGATCATTAGGGCACTCAAACTCCTCCACCACGATAAGGTGACGGTTCAAGGAGAGCAAAATAAAAGTGTGTTTGATAAATAGCCATTGTATTGACTTTTGCATTTTGGGTCAATGACCGCATAACTGATGTATTGATGTACATCAATGTATTGTTACTCTCCAAATATTTTCACTAATAATATGGAGCTACCGTTCCAAAGGTTGTGTCGTAAATCGCAAAGTAGGGAACTTGAGATGTAGCCTAGCAAGCCATCCTTTTTACGTATAGTCTTGCATTGGCCCATAGATAGAGCTCCATTCGTTGGGGCGGAGTCTACAATTGTCTTTCATACTGTCTCAATTGGAAAGCGTTAGGACATGTTAGAGCAAACGAACAATGGGATGAATTCGTACGGATTTGTCAACAAGGCAGTCCACCATACACCATGGAAGGAGAAGTGGAAGTACCTCAATCTTCTCATGTCTGAAAGAATAGCCTAAGTCTAAACTGTCCAAAGTTGGTGCCAAAGCCATTTTTGTTTTGCTCCGGTGCAGCTCTACCATCATCTTTAAAAAGCCCTGTCATAGTGGCGATAAGCCCGCCCACTGTCCAGGGGCGTCTTCAGCCTTTAACCCCCTCAGGCTCAAAATAAGTTTGGATAAAAGGACAAACAACTAAGTGCTTCAGGGGTATTCTAAGTTAAAAATGCTCATGCAATCCTTATGTGGAGTAACCATGTAGGTAGGTTTTAACTGTTGCAAACCTGCAACGTCTGCCTCCAGAGGTTTATGGAGCACCTGGGCTTAGCCCCCAGACCACAAATGACATTTCACTTTAGTAAAAAACAAGAGTTGTGGCCAGAAATACACACATCTACACTTGCAACAGAATAAATATATGTAAAAATAAAAGGATGAACTTTACAGTGGTCCTAAATCTTGGTACAAAAACTGTTGAGCTTCAAAGGCATCCTTAAAAACCAGAGAGCCAAACCACAAGCCCACCTGGTGCCATTACACCTGCAGCTCAGGAAACAAGGACAGGGCAGGATTAAACCTAGTTATCCAACTAAAGGAATTACAACTAAAGAATCTGATCAGATCTAAATCTGGATTACAAAAAATCACAAAAAGACTGCAGGTTATTGTGTTTTACATGGTTCATTACATTTTTTTTATCCATCTATCTTTAGTTCATGTAAAATAATTTCAATTCCATCTGTGGGTGGGCAATATCATGTCATTCACAATATTACCAATAATTGTTTTATTTATCATGTTGAGTTAATTTAATGATGTAATTTCATCCACTACACAATTCAGGTGGATCATCAGCACAAAGTCTTAAAAGTTATCAAAGCAATCATGGCTGGAATGTCAGTTTTTATTCATATCAGCCAGTAGGATAAAATACGTTTGGGGAATTTCAGCCTCTCCTGGCTTCTGTACCTGCAACCTGGTTACGCGGAGGAGGGATTAGCACTTAAACAGGAAAATCACACCGGGGAAGCGGTGCATTAAAATGTTAGTGTGAGTCACGGAAGCAAGTCCGGCTTGCTGTGACGAAGAGAGAGAGTAGCGAGCGAGCCTGTGGCTGATGAGTGAAAAAAAAGGCAAATAACATTCGGGGCTCGACTGAAAACATTCGGGGCTGAAGCCCCGTCATAATCAGTGGGCACCACGGCTGACACTGTCCATCTACTAACATAGACCGCTGTGATTGGACTGCCCTACACTTAGCCAAGCCAATGGTAGACATGCTGAGGCTGCAGTGGAGCGTGGCCAGACCAACATGCAGAGCTAAATCTTTTGCTACTGCTACAGTTTCTTTGGATTTCTGCGCTGCTTGAGATGATGTCTATAAACAAACTGGTATATTTCTCATTGAGACAGTTTTATGTAATCCTTGGTTGTTTTATTTTGTGCATCAGACCTGAAAACTGTCAAAAGTGACAGTCAGCATCAAGCTTTTTTCAAGTTCACAACCTTTGACCTTTGCCCACAGCGTCAGATTTGCCATCCATTCATCCTCGACCTCCAGGACTGCTGGCAGACACAACGCCACCTTTACATTAGTGAGTCAGGCAGCGATCAGTGACCCACTTTAACCCAGATCCTCAATCCAGAACCCCTCCACTCCACCTTTTGTCACCCAAGTTCTGGTGGCTTTGTTAAGAATCGACCCACGATTCCCCACCCAGCACTTAGCCAGTCCCCGTGCATCAGTTATCCCTGTTTTTCCCACTTATCCACTGACTCAAAAGCTATGACCCACTTGTGTGTGTCCCCACCCCCCAATTAAACGGCAGCATATTAGCCCAGAGACCAGATACTGAACGTTACTGCAGCACCACTGCATGCTCAGCTAGTGAATCATCACTGAATCACATTTTATACTGAAATAGTGCCGCTCTGTTGGTCAAAACTTGAAGGTTCTCGGCAGGCCTAAACCTTCTGCGTCATCACAAATAAAAAAACAGACATGATGTTATCACTATAACGGTCACAAACTGCGCCTGAAAATGTGCCCCTCATATTCTTCCATATAGCAGCTTATGTTCCTGATCTTGATCTCTTTCTCTCAAATGAAGATCACTTGGTGTTTTCCAATCCCTCCTGTCCTTTACACAACCCCTCCCTCCAACATGTTTACTCTGCAGAACACAAAAACATTTTTTTAAGCACTTTCTTCTCCAACAGTGTGCGACTACTGCAGCACAGGAGACCTGTACACCTACTGGCAGATGATTGGTCAGTTCTCTGAGGACACGGTGCGAGTGTTTGCTGCTGAGTTGGGATGTGCGCTAGGTGTGTGTGCAACAAAATACACTCCAGAATAATTCTACATGATACCTTGTTTCTAAAGTATGGAATCTCATTCCTGCCACTTTCCTTAAAAAGTATAGTAATTATCTCATAATTATAACTAAGTATCTCATGAGATACTACCTCATAATATTGAGATACTATCTCATTATAAAAAAAATAACTAAATCATAATTATGGGATATATATATATATATATATATATATATATATATATCAGAGTGGCAGGAATGGGATTCCATACTAAAGAAAATGATGAGAGGTTGTTTAAGAATTAAAGTGCTTCAGCATGAGACGTTTACTATTGCTTCCATCCAGATGTCATATTTGTCAGAAAAAGTCTTATTTTAATAAAACTATGTTAAACCACAACCATTACTGCAGCCCAATACTGGCAAGCCCACAATCTTGATCTTTATTTCTAGAAGAATACGGGATAAAACCACTTTCCAAATGATGGAAATCATTTTTGTTGTTTTTGCAGGTTTTCTGCATGATTTTGGGATCATCCACAGAGATGTGAAAGTAAGAAGTAGAAAACTGTAATTCTTACTGTCATAGCTAAAATCTCAGCTAACTGCTACTTAAACCGTCGCCAAGAATCATTAATCTACGTCTTTGATGACATGTTTAGGTTTAAAAATGTAAAAATGATGAAAAATCCTTACGCGTGTAAAATAATTCACATTTTATTCTTTTTGTGTAACCATGCTCTTTTGAAAAAGTGAGATCTCTTTACTTCTGCTTTATTTCCCCAGATGGAAAATATTCTGCTGAATGACAACGGTGAGTCCCCAGCAGAGAGCTGGGCAGCAGAAGCTCAGAAGCTTCTAAGAAAATATTCTTTACTGCACATATCACAGTTTAACACACAATCATGCTGGAAGCGTGACTGTTATTGTAGTTGTTAAGTACATCACTATAATAAGTGTGCATCATCACGAGCATCGTGACAAGGCCTCCTAACAATGCTCTTCTAGGCCACCTCCGCTTGGCTGACTTTGGTTTGTCCCGCCGTCTGGAGAGAGGAGGCAGAGCTTTCACCATCTGTGGAACCATCCAGTACATGGGTGAGAAACACAAATCCTGCAAAGGAGCGGATGTCTGAATTTATCTGAAGTGTGTGAAGTGATGAGAGGGAATTCTCTCTGCTCTGCAGCTCCGGAGGTGCTGAGCGGTGGACCCTACAACCATGCAGCTGATTGGTGGTCACTGGGAATTCTGCTCTTCTCATTGGCTACTGGGAAGGTGAGCTCTTGCTTCCAGTTTGATGTTAAACATTTAAACACTGAGTGTTTAGCTTTACACATGTCCACAGTTCCCCGTGCCTCCAGAGCCAGATCACTGCAGTATGCTGAGGAAAGTCAGGAGTTTTCCGTATGAAATGCCCCTCAGCTTCAGCCCGCCGCTCTCCTTATTAATAACTGAGGTAATTCCTTGATTTGTCATCATATTGCTGATGTAGTTTGTCACAGCATCACCTGCGTATGTTTGTGCAGCTTTTGTGCCAGAACCCCTCCCGCCGCTTAAAAACCCTGGATCGTTTCAAACGCCAGACTTTTTTCCACGGAATATCGTTTGACCTCGACCGCCTCCAGCGTCAGCCTGTGGAGGTAATGTGTGAGCGGCTGTTCAAATAAGAAATGAAAAGGAAAGCGAGTGAAGAGATTTTTCTTTACTCCCAGGTGATTCTGGAGCTGAGAGAAAGGCCAGACCGTGTCGCCAAAGCTCGACGAGGCCTCACGTTATCCCTGCAGCCTTTGAGGGGCTTCGACTTCGATTTGCTCCTCAGCCCTCCCGCCACTCCGGAGACACAGCTGGACGCAGGCGCTCGCACAGCTGCACCGCTGCCTGGACCTGCAGTGAAGCATCCTCAGGAAAAAGGTCCACGCAGGGAAGTGTTTGTGTGACGGACTTTGAGGCCTAGTCCACACGTAGCCGGGTTTTCTTAAAAACGAATATCCGCCCCTCCAAAAACTTGCATCCACACCATCTCGTTTAAAAAAAAAAACTGTCCACACGTACCCGGATAAATACGTTGTTAAGGACATGCCAGACCTGTAGGCGGCAGTACTTCCCCCGTTCTTAACCTCGTCCTTCGTCTGTGGTCTTCCGCAAGGAGCAGTAATCCCGCTTGCAAAAACAAACAAGCAAAAAGCGCTTGGACAAGTGATAAAGCGAGCGCAGCTCTGAGGGCTTCCATGCTGTCGGCTAGTGTAAACACAGGTCGCACACGTGATGTCAGCATTTTTTTGTCGTGGAAAGTGACGTTGCGGACCTTAAAACTCTGGTTTTGTCTGTGCACACGCAGACACCCAAAACGGAGAAAACGCAGATCTTCACTTTGGCCGGAGTTTTTAAAAAGATCCGTTTTCGTGTGGATGACAGGCCAAAACGTAGAAAAATATCTACGTTTTGGCAGATCCCCAGCTACGTGTGGACAGGGCCTTAGTTTACAGACAGACTAAAACACACAATAAATGACCTTTACACAGGCATGGTGCACTTTACACATTGTCCAATTCCAATTTAATAAAGTTAATCACTATATTGCTCTATCTGTTATTGATGTTTGTGCTTTTTCAAGGTACTGATCACATTTTGCTCCTTTACTTGCTTGCCTTTCCCTAATTGCCTCCCTGATTTTTGGTTTTGTGATTCTACACATCTCTCCGATTTTTCATTTGAACCTTTTTGGTTCATTACTGATGAGAAATCATCCCCACTTGGACAAGTTGTGCTAGTCTGTATCAATGGATTGTGTTTGATCATCTTTATTTGTAGAAATCCTAACAAAACAAGAAAAGTTTTAAAGGGGACATTTTATGCAAAATGCACCTTTTGCATCCTTTTGTGCTTCCATGTACTGCCTCTATAAACACTCCAAATGTGGAAAAAAAAAACCTCAACTATTTTTGGGAATTATGCGCCTCAAACTAGCCATTTCTTAAAGTAATTAAAAATAAATGAGCATTGAAATACCTCTCACATGGACAGATGCTGTTACGACGGCTCGACTGTGCGCCCCTCCTGGCTTCTCAGCTTATAGCAGCCTGAGCGGTAATGGGTGGGCGTGGCCAGCTCCAGCATGTTTTCATAAAGTGATAGAGCTCTGAAACAGCTCATTCTGGAAGGTACTGAAACTGTCAAGAATAAACAGCTGAAATCTTTTTATGCGAGAGGAATTTAATGCAAATGACTTCATAAAAAGGTTTTGTATCAATCATAGTCTTATAACTTAAGTAAAAAATAAAAATTCATCATATGTCCCCTTTAAATCTTTTCCTCGTTTGTTATATTGCATCACTGGGGGACCTTTTATAGTAGAAATGGACTACTCTTTGCTTCATGCTGTGTTCTCTGTAATTTAAACCTTCCTTTGTAGAGATGCTGTGTGACCCAAACATTTACAAAGTTTACCTCCTCAAAGTAAAGCAGCAGCTTTGGATTCTTACGAGCATGCCTGTAAGTTTGTAGCTTCAACCCAGCTGCTTGTGGGTTGTGATATTATTAACACAGAAGTTATTTTTTGTTGCTACATCTATGACTGGAAATCTTCATTTTCCTCCACTCGTCTGAATTTTGCGTTAATTTACATTTTCAAAACGCCATATCAGCAGAGATATCAAGGCACCCATACGCCTTGCTGGAGACAATGCGGCGCTACTGCTGCTAATCATTTGCATATTTTTTGGGACTGTCCCAGGTTAAAGGAATTTTGGACGGGAGTGCAGACCTCGTTAAATGCAGTTTTGAACATTCAAATCCCTTTAGACTTTAAGGTTTTATACATGGGGCTGGTCCCCTTTCTGAAATGTAGGAGTGAGATTAAGTTGGTGCAACTACTCTTGGTGGCATGTAAGAAAACAATAATGAGACGATGTCTGAGCCCTGTCCTCCCCACACTGGATGATTGGTGTGGGATTGTCTTAGAGATATTTAGGATGGAAAAACTGACATATGTGTTAAATAATCGGAAGACCAAATTCTATGAAATCTGGAACAAGTGGATCTTATTCATTACCCCCTCAAGAGCGGACTTTATGTGATTCAACTGTTAATCAACTTTTTGTAACCTAGCAATTTCATTTCTTTTTTAGGCAGCAGCACAGGCATCCCCTCAGTTTCTGGTAATGTTTACTGTTTTATATAAATGTGTTTCATCCTTCAACTATTACAGGTTCCTCTCGCGAGCACAGTCACTTTTCAGTACTTTAGATATTAAGGGACTCTCGTTGATACTCCTCTATGAAGGATGGGATGCTCTTGCCGTCCACTACTCATCTTGGATTCAGTTGGGGAGGAGGGAAAAAAAAACTGGAATGACTCTGTTCCTATGTCATTTACATCTTGTCATGTTTATTGCTATATGTTCATTCCAAATAAAGATTTAATAAAAAATAAAAATAAATTTACATTTACACCTGCACTAATTATCCGGAATGCCTCACGTGTGATGCTGAGCTTGCTTTCTAATTTCAGAATGCTTCTGTACATATTTATAAATATATATAAATACATTCATCTTAATAAAAATGTATATGGATATACCAGAGAATATTTTTTACTCATGTTGTGGATTTTGGTGTGTTTTTGTAAGTACCACAAATGTTAGAAAAAAATAAAAATCTGCCATTTTTTTTCTAGCATGGACTAAAAAAGTGAACTGACAAGAATTATTGCTTCACATATTGTGCCATATCATTTCCTCAGCGCATGCAGCTTATGAAATCACCTTTTGTTTGCTTAACGTAGCTGATTTACCCAACATATAATTCACTTATTGCACCATATTTGAACTATTGTATAGAAATCTGGGGCACAACATACAAAACTTATACAAATTCTGTCTATATATTGCAAAAAAGCAATAAGAATCATTACAAGGAGTAATTACAGCGATCCTTCTAACCTGTTATTCATAAAAACAAAACATTAAAATTCTATGACCTAGTGGACTACAATATTTCTAAATTTATGTATAATGCGAACAAAAAAAAACCTTCCTAAAAATTTACTTGGAAGATTTATAAAAAAACAGAGTAAATATGAACTAAAAGGACATGAATTATTTACAATACCTAAGTATAGAATAATTATAAAGGAGCGCTGTGTGTGTCTCTATATATGGAGTTAAAATATGGAATAAGCTAGGTAATGTAATCAAGGATGCAAAAACAATATTTACTTTCAAAAACAAATTAAAAATGAAATACTGGAATCATACGTGCAAATCAATTACTGTATATAAAAAAACTAAATAAATAAATCTATAGAGGATGTGTGTAGGTATATTCATGTGTGTATGTATAAATATGAACGTATGTTTGTTTATGTGTATATGTAGTGGATACGTGTGTATATCTGTATATGTATAAATGAAGTATGTGCGAGCCATCGACATTTAAATATTGGACAATGGGTCTCCAATAACAAATTTTTGAAGATAAATGGGAGGTGGCCACCACCGCTATTTTGACTGTGTCACAGGTTCCATCAAGCCCAGACAATTCCACAAAAGGGAAGAGAGGTGGAGCTGAGGGTGGGGCTGTAAGGCTGGGATCAACTGACGACACCCGGTCGAACTAGCTACAAGCTAACCTGAAGCTAACCCAAAGCTAACGCGGAGGTGGGAGCTAAGCTAACGGAGATAGCAACCTAGCTACAACCGGAGTTAACTGTGCACAACACCAGAGCTTCTGAGTCAGAGATATGCCGGGCTGACCGCTGGGTAAAACCGGGTGGAGAGGTCTCCGAGACCTCCACAAGCCGGCAGCCCGCGCAGTAGACAGAAGCCGCAATCAGACAGAGATGCGCCGAGCTGTGGGGAGGGGAGAAACGGGTGAAAAACATCGGTCTAAAGAGAGCTCCACAAGCCGATAGTTGGAACCCAGCTCCACCAACATGTTATATTTCAACCCATTTTCTAAAGTGCAGCATTATGTTAAATGCACTGGGTTTTGCCCTATTACATTTAAATGTCATGGTTAAACAGTACATTTTAAAATCTAAGCTCAGCTCGGCAGTGACCTAAAATACATAAATATAATTTTACTTACCGAAAAAATGAAGTGGAGACTCCTTGGATGCTCTATTAGTGCAATTAATGCCACAGCAAGTCGTTTTGTCCAACAATTGCACAAATAATATCCAAAAAACAATACACAAACACGGAGACTCAAAATCCCGGAACAGTTTCCAGGCCAGACCGAGGCTTTACTGAGGCCTTTCCACGGAGCTAGCTCTGTGGTCACGTGGGACTGATGTTCATTAATTATACAGAATTTTAGGCTTTTAATACACTTAAACAGAAGAGTGAGGAAAAAAATTCACCCCCCTCAGAGTTGTCATGAGTGTAAACTAGATCATTTAAACCAAAAACATGTTTTGGAACCAGGCTGTAAACATGTTTATATCTGCTGTGAAATTGGTATTTTTAACATGGGAGTCAATGAGGATTTGCTCGTTTCTGACACCAGCCCCCAGCGGATGAGGGTGGAACTGCAATTTTTGGTACTTCCGGGATTGCTTCAATTTTTGAGCCGCATTGTGGGGGCCTGGTGCGACCATATGGGCATGCGATGCACTCAGTAGCGGTTTTAGACACGGGCAGACAGGGCAGTTGCCCGGGGCGGCATTTTTTCCATGACACAAAAGGGGCGCACAAGCGCGGAGTAAAAAAAAAAAGGAAATCTGCGCCGCACCGAGGTTTTCTATTATCTGTCATATGACAGTGTCTGGATTGGAAACAGCAAGTTGGCGCCCCCTGCAGTTGCAGGCGCTCCTGCTGACTGAGAACGTTCACGTGCTCCGTGTGTCTAAAGAACAGGAAGGGGAGGGGTGCGGCGGGGGAATTCACCTCGCGTCTTTCCCAAATGAAATGAGCGTGCAGAGGCTGAATCAACCGTATTAACATGGCTAAAGTCAATCACATCTTAACGTTCTTCCATATTTCAATCATAATATCATAAACACAGGCCTATCATTCTTTCAGGTTTCTCTGAATTGTGTGAAATGGCCGAATAAAAAAAGGAAAAACAAAACGATTTTGTGGTCACCCCCCCATCAAGGTCAAATTGTTTAGTCCTGACTAAAGGAAACGTATTGAGTCAAGAGCCAAACAGAAGAGATGAACATAAAAAGGCTAAAACCACCAGGTGCCCCCATTCAGGGGGAAAAAAAGAAAAAAGAGCAGAAAGATAAAGGTATGTAGCTCTCATGATGCATGTTTTCAATTTTTTGAACCAGTTAACTGGGATTTTAACGGTTAAATGCAGTCAACTAATTGCTAACAGAGCTAATAGGGCTGAAATATTTAAACGAATATTCAAATGGTTTGAAAAAAGTCCTTGAATCGTTTTTTACTGATTCAAACTAGGATTTGTTAAATGCTCACTGCAGCCCGTGGCCTGCCTGAACAACAACAAACACATGTTGATCATGTTCACATAATAATAAATAAAACAATTCTACAAGCAGAAGAAAACACCCCAGTCACCACTAACTATCCTGTTTATTTATTGCAGATGGCTGCACTGATTATTTTTTACATGATTTGTTCTGTAAAAGTTGGCATCTTTGGTAGTCTACAGTTTTTTATGTCAGTTTAAATTACAATTTCAGAGGCAATTCTAAAATATTATGGATCATGAGATCTATTGGAGATCTACCCCAACTTTTGGACTGCTCTGCCAGTCACTGTGGCTCAAGCTGAGCGGAGCTTTTCAAAACTTGATCAAGTCATACCTGAGGTCACCTATGTTTCAGGGGCGGCTCACTAACCTGGCTCTGATTAGTATCAATCACTCAGTAGGGGAGCAGATTTCATGTGATGACATTATTGATGACGTTGCATCAAGGTTAGGTTTTAATTTTAGTTTGTGTTTTCTGTTCTTAGTGCAATGTTGTAGTGATTATCTTTAATTTGTTACGTGTGAAATATTTTTGCTATTTAGAATATTTATTATCTATTATGTTCATATATTCTTAATATTTAGTTATTGTTTGTTTTTGTATATTTGATTCTATATATTTTGATACAGTATATAATGTATAGTGCTTTACATTCTGACAACTTCATAGTAATTAATGTAAATATGTGCAACTTAGAAAAATGAATGTTCAATAGTCGTTCTAATAAAACATGCCTGTTTGAAGAAAACATGCGTGTGTTCATGCAGGTGGGGTGGTGTGGTGGTGGTGGTGGGGAGGCGGTTGGGGGGGCTCAAAGGGGGCCTCGCCCGGGGACTAATTCGATGATGTAGAACCGCCACTGGATGCACTTTAATGTATATGTGTATGTGGAAAAATCCTTTTGCTTTTTGAATTACTATTGCTATTAATTTTTTCGTTCTTCTTCGGGAAATTGACCTAAAGTTAGCTAACTAGTTGAGCAATTACTTTGTATAGACTAATTTATAATTATTGTTATTTCATTGTAAATATGTCATTTTAGTTAAAAAGGGGCAGATAACATAAGTTTTCTTCTTTCTGTTCCCTTTTCATTTTCTTGGTTTGAGAAACCTCATTTTATTTGTTAGATTTGTTTTTATTTTCTATTTTAATAATAAATGAAATAAATAAAAAAAGTAATTTAAAAAAGCATAGTTTACTTTCACTAAAACTAAAAAGGTTTTCCTTCTATGTTCTGACAAATAATTGACATATTTAACTCTGGCTTTGTTTTTAATTCTCTGATGAAAATGGGAATTAATCTTTAAGATCTTTAAAGATGAAACCTTCAGTTATTTGCCTCTGATGCTACATCTAAGACTTGAAACCCATATCAGTATATGAAAATGTATGCACAGAAATTATTTTCTTTATTATTTTGCCATAAACAGTATTATACCTATTACAATTTAATTTTCACTCAAAATTGAGAAATTTAGTTTCACTGTCCTAATAATAACAATTTCGTGTTTGTGTTTTTTTAAGAATGTGCGTAGTAAATGTTTCTAACAAAAGGTCTGTAATAGGATAAGGCCTGTATTTGGGGTTATTTGAACACAAGTATATCTCGAAACTGCATGTACAGAAACAAAACTTACTTTTACCCACTCACTTCCACAAAGGATCAAAGCTGCATGTTGAGAAGCCCAAAATAAAGGTACACTGGTCCAGCAACTATGCTGATCTTTTATCGAATGAGAGAATGTGGTTCATGACAAAAAGATGCATTTTGTCTCAGATAATCCCTTACAAAAGCCAGCTTGAACAAGTGAGTTTTCAGCTGCTTTTTAAAGGAGTTCACTGAGTCCACTGATCTCAGACTCAGGGGGAGAGAGTTCCAGAGTTTGGGGGCCACAGCTGCAAATGATCTGTCACCTTTGGTCTTTAGCCTGGTGCTGCACAACCAGTAGGCTTTGATCACTGGACCTCAGGGACCTGCTGGGGGTGTAGGGACTAAGAAGATCACCAATGTAAGATGGTGCTTGTCCATGTAAGGCCCTATAGACCAGAACCAGGATCTTGAAATGAACCCTGAAGTTGACTGGCAACCAGTGAAGCTGGAGGAGAAGCGGGGTGATGTGGATGTGTTTGGAGGACTTGGTCAGAAGCCGAGCACAGGCATTCTGAACCACCTGTAGACGGTTCAGGGAGGTTCTGCTCAGACACGTGAAAAGAGAGTTACAGTAGTCTACGCGTGAGGAGATGAAGGTGTGGAGAACAGTCTCAAGTTCAGAGCGGGACAGAATGGGACTCAGCTTTGCAATGTTCCTGAGATGGAAGAAGGAAGAGTGAACAAGAGAACTGACATGAGAATCTAGGGTGAGAGCTGGGTCAAAGGTCACACCAAGATTCCTGATGGAAGGTTTGGTGTGAGAAGCAAGCTGACCAAGAGAGTCTCTGACTTTGGGAACCAGCTTCTCTGGGGCACAGATGAGGATCTCAGTCTTGTCTTCATTCAGCTGAAGAAAGCTCCCAGCCATCCAGGTTTTGATAGAGTCTAAGCAGGTGTGTAACAGCTGCAGCTTAGACATCTCATGGGGCTTAAAGGAGATGTACAGTTGGATGTTATCTGCCTAAAGATGGTAGGAGATTCCTTTGAAGGAGCTCAGGATGTGCTGAAGAGGGAGCAGATAGAGGTGGAAGAGCAGAGGCCCCAACACAGAGCCTTGTGGGACACCATGGGTAAGGGAGGTGGTGGAGGACCTTAACTTGGAGACGGCCACAGAAAAGGAGCACTCAGAGAGATAAGAGGAGAACCACTCCAGAGCAGATCCTGATAGGCCTACCCAGTCTCTTAGCCTCTCCAGTAGCAGGTGATGGTCAACAGTGTCAAAGGCTGCAGTCAGGTCCAGCTGGACCAGAACAGAACAGTCCCCTGCATCACTGTGGGTCAGAAGGTCATTAGAGACCCTAAGAAGAGCGGTTTCAGTAGAATGAGCTCTATGAAAACCTGACTGGAAGCTATCATAGATGTTATGTTCATCAAGAGCAGCTGTGAGTTGTTTAGCCACAACCTTTTCCAAGATCTTGGAGATGAACGGAAGTTTAGAGATGGGTCTGAAGCTGCTATGGAGAGAGGCGTCAAGACTCGTTTTTTTAAGAAGCGGGTGGATTACAGCGTTCTTAAAGTAAGCAGGGACCTGACCAGAAACCAGAGAAGAATTAATTATAGAGAGCACGCTGGGACCAATGGACTGAAAAGCACTTTTAAACAAAGATGAGGATAAGATGTCGAGGGGGCATGCAGAGGTCTTCATAGAGTTAACTAGTTTGGTTAACTCAGGCAAAGAAACAGGAGCAAAGCTATCTAGGATGATGGGCCTGGTTGGAGTCGGGAGAGGCAGCGATAAGGCTGAAGGAGAGATGCTAGATCTAACCTGATTGACTATGTCCACAAAGAAAGACAGAAAGTTCTCACAGTCTGCAACAGAGTGGATGGAGGCTGTGGGAGAGGCGATGGAGGAGAGGATGGGTGGTCAGTCAGTCTTCTCTGGTCAGTCAGTCTCTTCTGCAAGGATCTTTGAAAAATGTGGTTACTGCTTAGATGATGCTGGGCTGAATAGTTCTGACCAGTGGAACAGGTCAAGAGATGTTGTCTTGCATCAACACAAGAATTGATCACTTCCTAGCAAAACAAGATCTGTGGCCCCCAGGGAAATAACTCAGTGAGGTTCATAGAATGTTCTTTTGTGCTGCCTCACGAAAACCACTACAGATGTAGTACAAGTGGATCTGCTGGATCATTTTATAGCTAATTATATCTTTGCCATAAACTAATAAATATCTTTGATTCAAATCACAATGCTGCCACGATAACATGGAAAATCCTGCTAAATGAACAGATTTAGTATAAAATCCTGGCCCTGGGTGTATTTTCACGTTTAATCACGTAAAGTTTAAAATGAAAAATGCAGAATCATGATGTGCGGGATACTTGTTAGGCGCATGCGCATAGGAGAACTGAGCGTAGCTCCATCAAATGACGCAGTGCCGTTGGCTCCTCCCCTCTGCCAGCGGCTTAAAGGGTCACGTTGCGCTGCAGCAGAGAAAGAGAGACATCTCCGCATCCTTCGCAATACCTCACCTGCCCTGTGTCCACCGAAAGACATCAACCTTTCGGTAAGGATTAACTCTCACCTGACCCACACGACTTATTTTACACAGTCCTCTTTTGTATTTGATCAGGCGATCGCTGAGAGCCGTTGATGCTGATGGGAATGTGTGATGCTGCTCATCGGGACGTTATGCTAACTTTCCCTTCCTAGCTAGCTAGCTGTAAATAAATCCCTCATTCTGAAACCACTGCTTCCTTTAATAGTAGTTGCTTCAATGAAAACTATTAAACACTTATTTTTTTTCTAAAAAAAATGTATGTAAAGAGCCGCACTTTGCTCATTCAACGACATACGCAACAGGAAGGGCGTTCAATGGCTGACCTTCAGTGATGGAAGTGAAGGAGAGCCTAGGAGCTGTTTTTGAGGCCTTTCAGTGTACAGTCGACGCCCCAGGTGTTTATTAATGAGAAAGTGCTTCATGTGAGGGTTTATTTGGGTTAAAACGAAGAAAACAGTGGCGGTAGGTGATGTGGGAGGGCGGTGATGAGGTCGTTTCCTGTAACAGCGTATCTGTAGAGGCGCACGTAGCCTCTGGTGTGACGAAGTCTGGGGCGGGCTGCGGATGACAGCAGTATACACGTGTATGTACGCATAAAGCCTCACTTTAGCTTATTATTTCTACAGTCAGACACCTTTCTATTCATATTTCATAATTCAGTGTTGTCTTTTGTAATAGTTTTAATATCAGTTTACCAATTTTACATATATTTTAGGAGGTCTAGGTGACTCAATTATTTTTTCATATCTAATTTAATAAAATTTCATATGTCGAAGTTGTTTCTGATGGGTGTTTTTGTTTTAGTGTAATTTGTATACAAAGTTCCCTAAAATAAGTATTTTTCTATGTTTATTTTTAATCATTGAGAGATGGTCCAAATCCAACCCAATAGTTTTTAAAGCTTACATTTTCACGAAAAAGGAATATAATTCTTTATTGATTGTTAAATCAATAGTTTTCCTGCAGGACCAAAGTGCAGTAATCCCATTTGCTTTCAACCTTAATTCATTTGTCTTCCATTTTTGAGCACAACAACAACTCAGTTCTTTTTTTAACTTGTTTTTGCTCCGCAAATTTCGTCAAGCATCAGCCTCCCTAATAAATGCGACGACCTTGTTTGACATCTACTGTAGACTTTTATATCAGTGAGCTAATGGATAACGGTGCTTCTGCAGGCACAAGGCCTGAAGATTAAAACGGCTCAAATATAGGGATGTACATCACCTCCTAGACCGGCAGCCCCCGTGGTAGACTATTTGACTTGTGCTGCCATGCAGGAGTCGTTTCAACTCCTTAATGTTCTTGCAGCTTGCATCCGAGAGAAAAACAAGTCATCTAAACCTCCAGGGGGTGTTAATGATGTGTGCCACCCTCTCCCTTCTTATTTTTATTATAGCATTAATCTAATTAAGTGTTCTGAGTGTCAGAGTAAAGAAACCAGACGAGCACGTCCTGTGTATGACGCAGCTGGGAGCTGGTCGCTCACCTTGATGTCGCAATGCAGACCCGATGTTTGTCTGGTTGAGTCAAACCAGCGTGCAACAGGCGGGAGTGGAAAATCTGGAACATGGCTGGGAAGGTGGAGATTCCTGCTGTATTCATCTCTGCTTCTCCTTCGAAATTCTGATGAATTTACATGTTTGCTTCTGAACCAACACATTAATAAATTTTAAATAACATTTCCTCACAAGGTTGATGCTTTAGTATACATAATGGGACAATCCTAGAGAATAACCAGAATTTCACTATTTTAATGTGAATAATTTAATTAACATTTTATTTATGTGCTGATAAAAGGACAAATGTATCATTCAGCTAAATTTGGGAGATTGTCACAGTGTCTCGCAGCTTTAAAGTTCAGTTTAAAATGATGAAAATGTTGGTAACACTTCCTGATGTGACGCCAGACATGTGGTTTTCTCTCATCTCTCAGAGGTTAGTCACTTCTACTCATCTTCCTCCAGTTTGTGAGGTTAGTATAGTGGGTGATGGCCAAATGAGCAAAACCCCACAGAAGTTTTCCCCTTTGTAACAAAAATTCGGTTGGACAGATTTTTCCTCTGCTAAAACCACATTTTTTTAAAAGTTATATTTACTAGAAAAAACATAATTTTGTTGTTTACCTGCACGAGTTAAGGTTGCTGTAGCGAATCTGCAAACACAGCACTCGCTCCCCCCCTCGGGTATCTTCCCTGGATCCTCGTCCACCGGAACTGGAAACCCGCTTTGCCAGAGGAAACGAGCTGGTGCACCGTTGCCGTTTTTTTAGATCCAAGCATCTTTTGTTGTTCGTGACCTCAATTGGTGTTTTTCTTTTTGGGACTCTAGTAGTTTGTCCTAAAGTTGAAGTGGTAGCAGCCGGCTCTTTCTCCTCCTGGGATATTATTGAGGGTAGAACCTCTCACACCAGTGGTGTTTAGTTGCTTAATATGGGGGTGCGTGATGAGCGCAGGACCCAGGGAAGCGCAGTGGTTTGGCGAGACCGACATCTGAATGGTCCGATAGTTGTTTGTGGTCTGAGCGTGTTATTGGTGTGAAACCAGCGAGAAAACCAATTATTTTATTTTGATTTTTTCTGTGTTTTTCATCTCAGTATGAAGCATTGCAGGTACTGTTGTCGATAATGTTACCGCCCCGCTAAACCACATCCCTTTCTAAATGTGTGCTTTTGTATGATTTTAATGAAGAAGTATCAGGAGAGACCAAAACGGCTACAACGCGGTTTGCTTGGGGTCACATTGACAATCCCGGTTAACTCTTCTTGGAGCCGATCCGAGCTGTTATTGGATTCCTCCGTCAGTTGGAGCACAACAACAAACTGAGCAAACGCAAAGATGAATGAGTTTATCAACAAGCAACAGCTTTTCTACGCAGTCGGTTATTAAGCTAATGTTGATGAATTAAAGGGAGACTGGATCAGATCAGCCTTCACACATACGTCTGCCAGCGGTTCATTAATCCATATTTAAGGGCAAACAAAGAGCTGTCTGAGTGAAGCTGCTTCCCATCAGTATACCTGCTGATAGGCTGGCTATGTGTAGCTTTCTGGGTGTCCTGCCTCTAACATGATCAGATTACAGCTTCTGTCTGTCATCTGAAACTGGATAATTCTTTTTATTTATTAATTTATTTTTTCTACTAAGAAGATCACTTGATAAAACACATTTGTAATATTTTCCAACCGTCTGTTTTTGAAATAGTGTTGCCTAAGATTTGACGAGTATCAGACACTCGTTTAGCAATGTTTTCTCATGCAGCAGAAACCTGAACACAGGAACTGGAGCCTGCCAAAAGTGTATTGTTGAAGCACGCGGGCGCCTCCCATCAGATAGCAGGTATCTGCTGACTCTGACTTTTGGGTCAAACACGTGACGTTGTTGGACGTGGATTTTATTAGCAGGGACTATTATCTTCAATTCAATAGAGACGTCTGCCGGCTTTAGTTACTCTGGGCCTAGCTGTTCCCTTTAGACATCACATTGAGCCCTGCAGGCCTGGCCTGTTTAATTCCACCTGCATGTGAAATGTAACTAACAGCTGTGATGTGGTGGTGCTCTGGTACCTGAGAGGATCACCAGAGCATACAGAACATGACGGACCCAGTCTGTTGGGAATCGTCTGCTCAACCAAACCCGTTCCAACCAGTTTTTAACTTTCTGCATCATATGTCTGCGTTTGTGTGATGTCACCAGGCCCAGATTCCATTTTAGGTGTAAACATGTCAAACTGATTGTGTTCTTTCCCTTTGTGAGCTCATTTGGCTGCCTGACCTATTCTAGGGACACATACCATTTCGCTTGTGAAGTGTGAACAAAGCTAAAATCACAGTGAGGGTTTGACGATCGGCACGGTGAGCCAGAGCTTGTCCCCCCAGATCACTCTGTAGATGTTTTCTGTCTGACATGTTTGAGTTGAAACCTTCAAATCCAGCGTGCAGTCGTGTCTGGTAGACGGAAACTAGTCGGAGATGGCCGTGCTAAAGGAGCGAGGGCGACAAAATGGTAAGAGTGACTCGATGGACGTTAGAGGAAACAGGAGGAGTGTTGCTATGGGAGAGGAGAACGAGCCGTGCTGCATCCAGACTGGTTGCACAGACTCAAGCGTTTGTTTCATACCCTCCCCCCTCACTCACCCTCTCTCTCTCTCATCTGCTGTGATTCAGATGCGGGGGGGTGGGGGGGGGGACTGCTTACTTACGGCTGGGTGGGGAGGGGAAGAGGGAATAAGCTGGTGTGAGGCCTATGCACAACTGAGACCAGACAGCATCTCAAATCCTATGAATGCAAATGAACACCTTAACATAAACAGATGTTTCCATTTATTATTTGATTTGATTACATCTGCATCTGCAGTTTCATACGTTTTCTGTGTGATACAGCATCACACGATTGATGCTGTGGAACATTAGTTAACAGATGGCAGGACATGAAACGAGGCCGGAACTAGATGGAGACCAGCGTCGTCGCGCTGTGGTAAAACGTTGGCCTCCCCTTTTGTCTTCCCAGCCACCATGACTCACCAGTATCCCGCACTGACTGCTGAGCAGAAAAAGGAGCTGCAGGACATCGCTCAGAGGATAGTTGCTCCAGGAAAGGGAATCCTCGCAGCCGATGAGTCCACCGGTACGTTTGTCCAACAAAAGCACACCTGAATAACACGTAAAATCTGTTTTTAGATAAATAATCTGCAGGATGCCTGAAGTGTCTCAGATTTCTGCCTCTGAGAGATGCTGCTGCTTCTAGAAGGTCCTTTTAGCCCTAGATCTTTTTAAATGTAATTTATGTTTGATTTCAGGCAGCATGGCGAAGCGTTTGAACCCCATCGGGGTTGAGAACACCGAGGAGAACCGACGTCGCTACCGCCAGCTTCTCTTCACCGCTGACGAGCGCATCGACAGCTGCATCGGCGGGGTCATCTTCTTCCACGAAACCCTCTACCAGAAAACAGACGACGGCACTAACTTCGCCCAGCTCATTAAAGACCGTGGCATTGTTGTTGGAATCAAGGTGCGAATCTAGTTTTTGTCCTCTGAGCTCCACCTCAGTCTCGTAAAACGCGTTGCTTCTAAACGTCTTCCTGCTTTGGTGTGTCTCTGAACGTCCCTCTGCTCTGGTGTTTGTTCGTCTGCATGCAGACAATCGAGTTTAGCAGTGAAACCGCCATGAGTAGCTCAGTGTCTAAACTAGCTGAAGTGGGCGTGTTTACTGATCAGGGTCTAAGGTTTTAGGTAAATAAGTCGTTTTTTTATCTGTTTGTCTCTCAGGTGGATAAAGGTGTTGTTCCGCTCGCTGGAACCAACGGAGAGACCACCACCCAGGGTAGGCCGCTTTAGGGAAATCTTTTTAAACAAACACGGCCGTGTCTCTGACGTCCGGCTTTGCGTTTGAGTGCAGGTCTGGACGGGCTGTCTGAGCGCTGTGCGCAGTACAAGAAGGACGGCGCAGACTTTGCTAAATGGCGTTGTGTGCTGAAGATCAGCGAGACCACACCATCTCAGCTGGCCATCATGGAGAACGCTAACGTCCTAGCCCGATACGCTAGCATCTGCCAGCAGGTCGGTGTGAATCTGTTGGATCCCCTTAGTGAGAAAACTTGAAAGTTTATATTTGAGTTTCTTCTCTAGAACGGTATTGTTCCAATCGTGGAGCCAGAGATCCTTCCCGATGGAGACCACGACCTGAAGCGTTGCCAGTACGTCACCGAGAAGGTAAAGGTTTTAACGAGGAGTTTGTGCGACAAACAGCTTTTTACAGACTCTGTATTTAGTCACTTCCTCTTCGCACTTGCTGTCAGGTTCTAGCTGCATGCTACAAGGCTCTGTCAGACCACCACGTCTACCTGGAGGGGACGTTGCTGAAACCCAACATGGTCACGCCCGGACACGCCTGTCCCACCAAGTTCAGCAGCGAGGAGATCGCCATGGCGACCGTCACCGCCCTGCGCCGCACCGTGCCACCTGCCGTCACAGGTCACACTTAACAAAAATAAAAGTTTTACTCTTATTTTCAAAAACCACTTAAACCTCTTTACGTCGAGGGTGTGTTGTTATTTAAATGTTTGTTAAAAGCCTGGAGCTTCAAACCTCCACTTCTCTACAGGAGTGACGTTCCTGTCGGGTGGTCAGTCAGAGGAGGAGGCCAGCGTGAACCTCAACTCCATTAACACCTGCCCTCTCATGAAGCCCTGGGCCCTGACCTTCTCCTACGGCCGCGCCCTGCAGGCCTCCGCCCTCAACGCCTGGAGAGGAGAGCTGAACAACGAGAAGGCCGCCACTGCGGAGTTCATCAAGCGTGCCCAGGTGGGTTCAAACGTAGTTAGTAGCTTTCACACTTGCAAACCTTCTTTCGTGGGTTTTTATGAAATTTGCATCCTTTTGTTCCTTTTCTCTTCCAGGCTAACGGGCTGGCCGCTCTCGGCAAGTACGAGTCTGCTGGAACCGGCGGCGCTGCTTCCAAGTCTCTCTACGTGGCTAACCATGCCTACTAAACATCTAACCACCACATCCAGCTGCGGCCTAGTTCTAGTCTTACATTTGCTCTGCTACCCCTCCCCCCAGTCCTCCATCAGCCACAGGCCTGCGCTGTCTACTGTAATTTGTTCTCGGAGTTATTAACATTATTAGATGTCTATTTAAAAATGCAATATTATAAGGAAGAGTTATTTTTTATCCTGTTTAATCAAACAAGTCGGATTTGAGATAATTTATGACTGAAGGTTAGTTTTATGTGTTTGGGCTCAACGGTTAAGGATGCTAGAGAATGTACTTAAAACAAAGCTGCCAGTATTTTATTTTCCTCAGTAGAACTGCGCCTGTTTCAGTGTCGGGTGTTTTTCCTCCTCATCTGCTCCCAAACGGGCCGAGATCACCATGCGTGTGTCGGTGTTGCGCTTCTGTCAGAACACAACGTCAGACCTTTGTTCAGCATTCACACCGACGGTGGGACCAACCCGTGAATAGTGGCAACAGTACACACACTCCAGAACAAAAGAAGAAGAGGGTTTGATGTTAAACTGAGTTTTGGCGTCAGGTCAAGTCGGTAGACTAAACGGTACTGTAATAATCGCTACGCACCAGGATTCATCCCAAATCTTTAATTCTTGTGCTCCTTATTACTGTCATCATTAAAACGAAGCATCACGTGTGTCTTCTCAGTATAACAGCTTTAAATGACACTCCGTAGGTAATGTATTTAGTTGTGTGAAAGTATTGATGTTATGTGGTTTTTGTGTCACCCCTCCCCTTGCGGCTGTCTCGCCCCTGCCCATCCCCACAGCAGAGATCAAATGAGTTTGTGTGGATTTGTCTGTGGGCTCGGCGGGGCAGAGACGGGCACTGCTTTGTTGGAGTACTGTGGTGTTTGTGATGTTCAAATCATTCCCAAAAACAGTCGGTGTATAGTGGAGAAAATAAACAGTAATTCACAACCTGGGTTCATCTTGTTTTAATTATTTATATGATTTACTCTTTTTAGATGAATTATGCATCCAAGAAACTCCTGCTACTAATATTACATTACTGTTGCTTATTCATATGTACACATTATTGAACCATAACATTAGGACTTCCTTACCTTTAAACCAACAATGGCAGCTGGCTTGAATGTTAGGAATATTAAACAGTTGGAGAGTATTCTGTAGTTTATTGTGTTAAAATAATAACGGTTCTAGTAGCAGTATTTTGAAAAGAACACCCTGAACTACCTGCTACATCCTTCTGATTTTCTTCTAAAGCTGCTTATTATGAACGAGTCAAACTGGGAGTGTTACATGCTTAAATTGCAGGTTTAAAGGTATTCAAGACAAGTCAGTGATATGAAAAAAATGTGATCACTAAAGGTGACGTTAATTAAAACTGTCACAAAGGGGCGAAAGTTTCCCCTTCACGTGTGTGTTTAATATTTTTTCAGGATCGCCCGATGACTTTCTGTCTCTGAAGCAATCACAGTTCTCCAAGTGTAATAATACATTTATCACAAAATTATTGTACTTTTAATATATATATATATATATATAGACGTGTTACTGCTAGTTTACCCATTTAGAGATCCACTAGGATAAATACAATAAAGTTTATCTCACCAAATAGAATATTTACTAAGACATCACAATAGAACTGTAGACACATTAGTGTGTGTGTGTGTGTGTGTGTGTGTGTGTGTGTGTGTGTGTGTGTGTGTGTGTGTGTGTGTGTGTGTGTGTGTGTGTGTGTGTGTTCTGTCGTCTCGATCCCCAGTGAGTCGTGGAGGATGGCTGCTTATTCTGAGCCAGGATCCTCTGGAGGTTTCTTCCTGTTAATAGGGAGTTTTCCTCTCCACTGTCGTTGCATGCTTGCTTAGTATGAGAATTGCTGTATAGTCACTGACACTAGTCAGTGACTTGATGCAATTTGCTGGGTTCCTTATATAGGACACATTATTTCTGATTGGCTTAATGAACTGTGAATTGGAATGTTTATTTTGTGAAGTGCCTTGAGACGACTCTTGTCGTGAATTGGCGCTATATAAATAAACTTTAATTGAATATATATATATATATATATATATATATATATATATATATATATATATATATATATATATATATATATATATATTACCTCCTTTATTCTTGTCTGAGTCAGATGAAATATGTGTCACGTGACTCAATGTTGTGTTGGTGATGAAACCGAGCACACCCGGTTCATTGCAAATAATGGCCACCGCGGAAGTGGGTGAGTAGATAGAATGTCACATTATGTTTTAACATTTTAGTTTAGTCAGAGTAAAAAATTTAACTGTACTTTGGGGTCCATTTACAGACTTTTTAAGACGTCCTGTAGCTACATTCACTTTTAGCTGGAGACATTTGTTTTCATGACGTTAAGAACCATTTTTGTTGAGCGCTAGCTCGCGTTAGCATTGTGGTTTCCAGGAAAATGTGCATTTATAACAGCTAGCTTCGTTTTAGATGTAGTTTTAAACAATTATTTTTATTTGTAACCGTCTGTTCTTCTATAATAAGCTGAATAAAACCCATGCATCCATGAAAAAATCTAATAGGTTCAAAGTTTATTTAGCTTATAATTTTTATTTATTATTTTAATGCCAAAGTTAACCCCAAACTAATCGATGAAAACATGTTGCTTCTGTACACAGTTAGATGTTAATGAAGGGAAATAAAATGTTGTGTTTTTATCCTGTTCTTATGTAGTTACAACCATTTATTTATTTTAATAGCATCAGTTAATATTACTGTGAAGTGATTCTAAGTTTAGTGATAGAAATAGATTAAGTATTTGACACATCAGTAACACACAAACAAATAGGCAGAGGTAATTTCTTACAAGACATTTTGCATCCATTGTAGAATTTCTGTAGCAGAACTCTTTTCTGTGTTGGTCTTTCTTTCAGAGCGCAGACGAGGTCAGCTTGCTGCTTTGTCCATAGCAGCTGTGGTGATCATCGTTGGAGTCCCTCTATGGTGGCGAACCACAGAAACCTACCGTGCCTGGTTACCTGTCAGTCAGATAAAACAGCTGGCAAAGCTACAGGTTAGTTTCTGACTCCTAAAACAACCTTTTTGTCTCGTGGGAGTTTGCTTATTCGTGTTTTATTTTTTCTGTTTTGCAGCTCCAGCTGAGCGCTGACGTAGAGGTCGTCTTTGCTCGTGGTACTGTGACCCCCGAGCAGCAGAAGAAGGTTCCACTGACACAAACACAGGAAGAGGAACATGCAGTGGACGGTGATTTAATGAAGTGGTTTAGGAGGTTGTTTCGGAGGATGAAGCGTGCATGCTCATTTTGTGTGTTTATGTTGTGCTTACAGGAGATACAATGTTAAGGTACAGGTTTGAGACGAGGTACCGCACAGCTACGATCATGGAGGAGGATGCACTGAACAAGCCCACTGCTGCTGGTCAGTTAAAGGTTAAATCTCAAATGAATGGTTTGGTGAAATTACACGCAGTTATTTTTCTGTGTCTTGTTTTTTAGGAGCAGATGAATCTCTGCACACACTCAGCGAGAGTCCGTGCGGTTCTCTGGTTTTTTATGTGATCCCAGAGCTGTCCCTATTGCTGCCTAAGGTCAAATCTGCTAGTATTTTATACTTTGCTCCTTATTTACTTCGACCCGTGTCGTGAAAAATTCGGACGTGTTTTTTATGCTTTGCAGGACACAGATGTGTACATCGGTCAGCGTCGAACTGCTCTGCTTCGTGTCAGCTCCCAGGTGGGTGTGGGTAGGACACTCGAGCAGCTCCTGGCCCAACTGGAGCCTCGCATCAAACAGGTGCTGCAAGTGATGTCTTTCAGCCACACCGACGTCTCTGCTGTCCTCAGTGACCGAGTCCGTTTCAACCCAGACAGCAAAGAGGGCATTGCTGATAGCATGAGAGCCTTCAAATCCAGCCCAGGTTGGCTTTTATTCAGCCATGAATAAAGTTGGTGTGGTTAAAGTTGGTGTGAAAAAAACTCTGTTTTCTGTTTATTTTTATTTTCCTTTAGGTTATGAGATAACATTTAGTCTGTTGAACCCCGACCCAACGTCACACCAGCTCCACTGGGACATCGAAGGTGCTGTGCAGACCTACATCCAGCCTTTGCTCACAAAACTCTCCCCCGTGGCCAACTTTAGCATCGACTCTCAGGTATGAAACTCCGTTTTGGTGGACATTCAGTCAGGCGCAGAGCACGTCAAAAGATAACCCTCAACCCTATACTTGTGTTCTTACAGACGTTGTACTACTCTGTGCTCGGGGTCAAACCACGCTTTGACAGCAGCTGCGATGCCTACACGCTAAATGCAGACAGCCTCGCACACGTCATCAACCCGGTGGAGGCCAGACTTGGTAAAATAGGAATTTTAGGGATTTGAATCCACTGTGTTGCTTTATGACAACATAAAAATGTTTGATTTCCAGGTTCTAATGCTGCATCTTCCAACCCAGTGCTGAATTTCCTTTTGTACGTTCCTGATGCTCACCATTCCCCTCTTAAAATCCAGGATCATAGGAAACAGGAAGTGCCCTCGAATGCGTTTCATTCTCCTCGTTGGGGTGGAATTATGGTAAAATATTTAATTTTCTCTCACCCGAATGAAAGAAAATAGATTGTTATTTATTGAAAACACCCATCGGAGCAGTGAAGGTGTGATGATGGGGAAAAAGTCTATCCATTATTTCTTTAGGTTTATAATGTGAACGGTTTCTACGAGCCAGAGGCTGAGCTTCCTGTTGACATCAGCATCAACATGGCTGAAGTCATGGGAGTGTTTCTCGCTCAGCTTCGGTAAGCGTCACTCTCCTAGCAAACATTTTAATATTTCTTGCCCGTGTACAAAGTTTCCTAATTTTTTTTCCCTGCCAGACTCCTGCTGGGTGTGCAGTCATCCCCCCCTCCCCCCGGCTTCCTGGTGGCACCACGTGGAAGTTCAGGATTAGCCGACTGGGAGCTGGACCGTCTCATGTGGAGTCGTTGTGTGGAAAATATTGCAACAGCAACCACAACCATCACCTCTCTTGCACAGTTGTTGGACCAAATAAGCAACATCGTCATCAATGACAACATTGCTGAACAGGTAAAATGAAATGCACATTTTTCCCATCTCTGTTAAGCCTTTTGACTTTGTCTCTAACCTGGGACTGTGGCTTTTGCCACTCAGGTATCCAGTGCTGTAAACTCTCTGCAGCTGGCTGTGGCAGAACTGGAGGCTGGGAACCTCAAATATGCTCTGCAGTTGAGTAAAGAGGCCATTTTGGCGTCAGAGAAAGCCTTCTTTGACCCGTCGCTCCTCCATCTCCTCTATTTTCCCGACGACCAGAAATTTGCTATCTACATCCCGCTCTTCCTGCCCATGTGTGTGCCTATTCTGCTGTCACTGATCAAAATGGCATCTGAGGCTAGACAGAAACGCAGAGAAAAGCTCGCCAAGAAGGACTGAGACCAAGTAACTTTAGGGATTTGACTACAAACATATTTATTTAAAGATTGGTTTGCAAGTCAGTCATGCAAGCTTTTATGATATGGTTGCAAACTGATTTATGTTTACTTCGTTTTACTGAATGGCTAATGCAATTGACACTGTACAGTTTAAAGCTTGAATTGTTGTGAATGTAAATTTTATATTTGAATTGTCTTTCCTTTTCTAAATTATGAACAAATAAAGAACAAACCTGTTGCTTATGATATCCATTTTTAATTGCACCCCTGTTATTTTATAGCCTGGCCTGCCAGACTCATCCTCTGTTTAATTCTACACAGAGAGCAAATGAGTCCCGTAAAGAGGCAAGGGGCTGGCTGGTCAGGCCAGTTATTTTATGCTATCCCTCTGAGATACAAGGTTTTGTTTGGTTTGCACATTTAATTTCAGTGTGCTGTTTTGGATTCGTCTGACTACATATGGATTAAAAACATTCAAAATGTAGGAAGACTTATATTCATTTGGAAAATTAAATGAATATAATTTACAAAATACAGTTTTTAAATGAAAGCTTGTCTCCCTAAATTGATAAAATAAAATGCAAGGGAATCATTGTCCGCTTGAAAATATCAATGTGTTGTCTAAATCGAAAATACCGGTAAATATAAATTTGATCTATGTGGAGGAATGTTAGGAAAAGTGAAGTGCTTCCGGTGTACCCTGTTTCTCCAGCAGGTGGCGCTGCCCTCTTCTATCATTCCTTTGTGCCGCAAACCGCAGAAGAAGAGCAGCAGGCCAGCTAGCATTTGTGGGCTAATATTTTTGGGAAGGTGGAGCTCTTCCGTCAAATTTACCGCCTATTTCGTGTATTTTCTTTACTAACATCGCTTAACTTTTACGCAAATTTCATTTAAAAAGTACTGAGTCTATCGTTAACTTGCGCAACAATGTCCGGAGGATTCGTTCGAGGACCCTTGGGGAGTAACGATTGCCGCATATACGTGGGGAACCTTCCCCCCGACATCCGCTCAAAAGACGTGGAAGATTTATTTTACAAATATGGATCTGTTCGGGATATAGATCTGAAAAATCGCAGAGGAGGACCACCGTTCGCCTTCGTGCAGTTCGAGGACCCGAGGTAAGCGGCGGGATCCCGCCACGTCTGAGTAGCGTGATCAACGCGGCCAGCTAGCTGCTACACCCAAAATCTTCACGTAAGAAACGGATCCACATGGCTCTGTCGGGTATTTTACTCACATTAAACTATATTGCTTATTAGTTTGTTAGGTATTTCTTATAAAAACCCATTCGAGCGAGAATCAAGTGTTTTTTTCCGCATTTGCCCGCTCGAGAAGCTAGTCACGAATGATTCCGAAAACACGTGAATGCATCATGTAGCACAAAAGCCTTCTTTGTTGGGGGAAAAAAGTCAAACTGTTAAAAGTTTACTGTTTTACATGAAAACACGAGTGGAAATCTTATTAATTACGTTTTAGGTATTTGAGTACATGTGAAAACATGCTTCTCATTTTTGTCTTGCATTATAAAAAAGTATTGAAATGCCTAAGGAGAATTAGAAAATGCATTCGGACATTTTTTAATTGTTATGATTATTAAATTAAAAACAAACAAAAGTCTCCAGGATTTAAATGAAATAATAAAAGTGGTCCTGAAACCACACGATGCACGAGATGGAATATGTGTTAAAGAAATAAATTGTTATTCACTTAAACTGTCAGAAGTAAAGGTAGTTAAAACCTCCCATCAGTGGCGTAAACGATGGATTTTTCTGCAGGGATGCAGAGGATGCGGTGTACGGACGGGATGGTTACGATTATGATGGATATCGACTGCGTGTGGAGTTTCCGAGAAGTGGAAGAGGAGGAGGTGGTGGCGGCGGCGGTGGAGGAGGAGGAGGAGGAGGCATGGGAGCCCCTAGAGGAAGATATGGGCCTCCATCTCGACGCTCAGAAAACAGAGTGGTTGTATCAGGTTGGTGAAGTTTCCCTTCCCTCACAGGTTTTGCACAAATATTTTGATTTTGTTTACATCTTAAGTCTGACGATCCTTTCCTCTCAGGTCTTCCCGCTAGCGGTAGCTGGCAGGACTTGAAGGATCACATGCGAGAGGCAGGTGATGTATGTTATGCTGATGTGTTCCGTGATGGCACTGGAGCCGTGGAGTTTGTGCGCAAAGAAGACATGACATATGCTGTGCGTAAATTGGATAACACCAAGTTCCGTTCTCATGAGGTATGTGAAGGACCCTCGGTGGGTGGGTAGCTAGCTAGTTAGAAAGTGGCTCTGGGACTACATGTATGCTCTCAGGGAGGACCTGATGGGTCACCCAAGACAAACATTCTTTCTGCAATGTCAATGTTAACACATGTGTTTGTGTGTTTAGGGAGAGACGGCCTACATTCGTGTCAAGATGGATGGCGCTCGCAGCCCCAGCTACGACCGCTCTCGCTCCCGTAGCCGCAGTCGAAGCCGGAGCAAGAGCCGGTCTCGCAGCTTCTCTCCGTCCCGCAACAGAGCGTCTCCACGTTACTCCCCGCGGCGCTCTCGATCCCGCTCTCGCACTTAGATCCACCTAGGTTGAAGCAACAGTGTACCTCAGCTGGAGAGGAAGTGTTCACATCGCATAACAAGTCCTGTGTTCACACTTCTGTACACTGTCATGTTGTTTGTCCCGTTTCCCCTCACCTTCTGTTGGCTTGGTTTTCTTTAATTTTGGTTCTAAACTTTGCAAACACCGGCATTCTTCTCACTTGACCCAGTATGGCTGTTTTTTCCTCTCTTTTCCTCTCCTAAACTCTCTTATGTTTCTGCTATCCATTCTTCTGTAATTCTCTCCTCTTGAATGTTGTCATTGAGTGTTCCTGTTTTGTTTTGGAAACATCTTTTTTCAAACGTGTGCGGCTGTCCTTTGACCTTCTTGTCTGTTTCTCTGTAGAATTCAGGGGAACAGGATAGGATGGGAAGAGAGGAAACAGTTCATGTTAAGATAAACAGGAGGAGGAGGAGGAGGAGCAGTCAAATATGGCACCAATGGTATGATAGTTGTGCCTTGTTAACTGTGAAATCTACATTATACAGCTGTTGTGAATTTGTCTTTCCTTTTAAATATTTACAGTAGAGTTTGATTGAATGCTGCAATAATATCTGCTGCAAACAAAGTAGTGTTTAGAGACCCAACGTTTGATTTTTTTTTTCTTTTTCATCTTTTCAAAGTAACTTTGGGTTTGATCATAAATGGTGTCCCTTGTTTATCTCAAAGTAAATGTCCTGGTTGCTGATTTATCGATATTTCTTTATGAAGTGATTTTTTTTCTTTAATTTTTTGAAGGTGTGATTCTAACTCGCCTCCTTCTCTTTGGTTCTGCTGGTATTCTAAAGGTTTGGACTCGGCTCACATTGTCTCCTCATTCCGGAGCCGGATCAGGATTCAGGATCAGATCAGGATTAGGATTAGGCTTCAGGATGGATACAAGGAGCACGACCTGTCCACATAACCTCAGCAAACCGGAATTATTGTAGTATAAATCAAATGAAATTGGCTATGAAATATTCAAAAGATTCCCTTCGTTTTGTGTGGCACCACTGAGACGCAGTCACAGACGGCACCGCAAGGAGCCCAAGTTTTTTTTTTTTATAAAGGAGGAGGGCTGGGAGGTGCAGGATGGATCCACACGCATAAGGAGTGGTAAATAGTGGGAAACCTTTTGACGTTGGCTGAGGGAGGGAAGCAGGAGGGCTGGGAGGTGACACTTGAATGTGACTGTAATCTGGTTTGTATCTTTTTATTAGGTTAGTCTTTCCCAACGGTGGATTTATATGATCTCCAGCATTTCACTGCTTTATTTTCTTTTAATAAAACATTCAGTAACATTAACACTTGTTTTTCTTCTGTGCTCAAGCAAGAAGAGCTTGGGTGCAAAATGCTCTATGTAAATCCTAATTGCTGCAGTTTCATGTCTCGGGCAGCAGTAGCTCGGGAGGTAAAGCGGGTTGTCCAGTTATCGGAGGGTTATAGGATCAATACCGGCACCGGGTAGAGAATTCTGCTGTTGTGTCCTTGGGCAAAACGTCGCCTTACCTGCTGGTGGTGGTCGGAGGGACTGGTGACGCCCGTCTTCTGCAGCCTCGCCTCTTGTCAGTGCGCCCCAGGGCGGTTGTGGCAACAACGTAGCTCATCACAAGGGTGTGAATGAATGAATGATACACAAGCGTAAGAATTTATATATGTGCATTTTTTTATTTTTTATTACATCTTTATTTGGATTGGACAAATAAGGTACATCAACATCGCAATAATTAAATACAGAGAACAAGTGTCCATCCAGGGTTTTTAGATTCACGTTCAAGAGACACAAGTGATCACCAATAACAAGCGACATGTGTTGTCTTCCTTGGATTAGTATTGAGAGAATTTCCAATTTAAGTGAACATTAATCTCTTGAGTCATTGACAGGAATCTAGTGAGACCCTGATTTAAAAGTCCTGACCAATCACATTCTGGTAACCGGTGATGGCTGTACCCAGTGTGCAGCAGTACCGGGACCGGAGTGAATAGGGTGTGTATGGGGAGCATGAGTGGGTGTCCGGCGTGCATTTTTGTAAGTCTTTGGTTGTATGTGTATGTGTGAGCATGAGGGAGGGAGTGTGTGACTTTGTGTATGACTGTATATGTCAGGTGGGGCCTTTGACTCCTCCCCTCTCCTGGGACCTCCTTTGATGATATAGATCTTCGTCTCCCCTCCCACTGCCACACCTGGTGTGGGGTGTGGTGCCTTGGTCTGCCTGAGTGTTCGTGGCTCCCGGGTCAGGGGGTTTAAGATTTGGCATCTGCTTGATCAATCCCGGTGGGGTCTGGGTTCCTGGGCTCTGCTGGGTCCCCGGCGGGGGGGGGGGGGGGGGTGTCGCTGGGTCCGGGCTTGGCCGGCTAGGAGGTGGGAGGTGGTGGGCGGGCCTGTGGGCTTGCCGCTGATATCTCCCGGGACTCTGCCGGCTGCTGGTTGTGGCCCCCCGGGGCGATCCTCTGCGCCTCTCAAGGGGGGCGGGGGCCTTTCTGGTTGCAGTTCCCTTGGGGTTCCTATGTTCTGGGGCAGCACCTGGATCTCATGGGACTTGGAGCTCCCCCCGTCTCCTACACATCTTTGGGGGCAGATCTGTGGTCCCTCACACTCTATTGGACGCTCCTTTAGAGAAACCTTACATAATAAACAAGCGCGCGTACACACACAGGTGCTCTCAAAAGTATGGACTTGGGCACGTTCAACACTTGTCTTAAAGCTGTCGTTGCCACTAAATGCACTATGATTTATTATCGTGTGATTGTTCGGTTAAACAATGTTGATTTTATATTTCATCATCAGGTTGACCCAGTGATAGCTTGCTCCTGATGTATTGTGTGTCCCATTTTTTTCTGCTCTTCTCTTTCTGCAGGTCTAGAAGCAGACTCTTGTTCATTATTGTTTATTTTTGTGGAACCCCCCTCTCTCTCTCTTCCCACCGTTTGTCTTTTCTTTCTCTTTCACCTCTGTCTCCGTGTCTGGTCGTAATTACAAAGCATTCAAAAACAATAACAATAAAGTTTTAAGTATCAGGCGTGACATTAAAAGCAGACGCTTTGATGCTCCACCTGAGAATAAATCTGTAAGGCTTGTTACCAGCATTCAGACATCAATTCTGCTTGCTTCACAGCCAGACAGGACACGGTTAAAAAAATAATAAAAAAAATCCTGACCAACCACCTGATTTTTAACATTCTCTGTAGTTGACAGGATTGAACAACCTTCTGCCAAACTTGAATCGTATGGGTCAACCTAGGGGTCCCCACCTTCACCAAACGACACATTGGAACCTTGTCCACTATTACAGCTTGGAGAGGGAATCGATGCGACAGGTTAATCCTGTATGCTTCATTACACCTTGGATAGGACCCTAGAGTACTACCCTAGGGTACTATTCGAGTCATGTAAGAGTAATTTCCGAGATAAGGATGACCCAACTGAGTTCCCTTTTCTTTGGGGAGTTGAAGGGTGGTATATTTAACCCTTTGCTTCCGGCCCACGAGATAAGTCTAGAAACCCATTTGTCCCATTCCCTGAATTGTTGATTAATTACTTCTACAGGCAAGATCCTACAAAGGTAATCTACGGAGCATGTCAATCTTAATTGCGCATATCCTAGAGCTATAGCTCAAAAAATGGGATCAATGGCCATCTGCATCGGGTAGCTTTTGTGCTTGCAGAGATTGGCTCATATTTTATCTGACAGCTCAGAGTTCCCAGGTTAGACATATTCCCAAATATTTAATTTAGTCATTTTCCCAGTTACTTTAAATTTATTACATAAAGCTGCAGAAGCAGTATAGTGTGTTTTTAGGATATTAACTAACCACATAATTTTCCCCAAATTAGCTCACTAAAAAAAACTCCGGCTTCCCCAAGCAGATGTGTCATCAAGGAACATTGCAACCTTCTGTTTGACTCCTGACAATGCAATACCCTTGTAATTTTGATTTGCCTTATTGTTTCTATGAATAAATCAAAGAGAAGTGGAGAGATTGCACAACCCTGCTTAGTCACGTTCAAGAGCAAAGGCCTCATACAGGTCACCATTTAGGTTAATACAGGCCAAAGGTCAATCATAGCGTTTGTATTACTTTAATAAATGTATTCTGGAAGCCAAACTTCCCCAGAACTTTATATAGAAGGGACCACCTGACAGAGTCGAAAGCTTGCTTGGCATCAAGGATGCCTTACTAGAATCAATTGAGTTTTGATTTGTTGTATTTGGCCTGATGTGTGTGGTAATCTCATGTTTGTAGCAAATAAAACCCATCTGGTCTAGATTCAAAGAGTCTGGAATAAAACCTGTCTGCTCTAGATTAATAGGGTCTGGAATAAAACCTTTCTAGTCCAGATTAATGCAGTTGGGTAACAATTTCTCCAGTCTTCAAGCAAGAGTAGAGGAAAACCATTTAAAATCGAGATTGAGAACAGTGATTGGTCAATCCTTGTCTGTTCTTCCCATCTTTCTGGGGTAATCTCTCTTTTGTAGGACATCTTCAGTAACATTGGGATTAATTCTGCCTTCAGGCCACGGTACCACTTTTCATTGCAATTTTTATTTTATAATTTTTATTTATTTTTTAATACAATTTTTTTTATTTTTGCAGAGACAACAGAGTGATGCATTCTGGGTTGAAATAAAATGCAGGAACTCTCCGCCAGTCACAAATCACTTCGAGCAGGGCGGAGGCATTTCTGGAGCCAATCAGAGAGCAGGATAGACGTGGGGGGAGGAGCGTACAAACCACGCGTCCTTTCATAAATGAAGGAAAAGCTAGGTAGCTTTTTGTAACCTGCCCCTCTAATTATTTAAACTTCGCAGAGACACGGTAAGAGTTATTATTAAAAGGAACCATCTGCTTTTCTGTGTTTATAATATTAGAGAGTGTGTATTTTTTGCACGCATGCTGCTAAATTGTTTACTGTTGTTCCTCGGTACCACCAACAGTTAGCTAACTGCCACCGGTGATATTTGTATGTAGCATTAAAGCATCAAAATCCCTTTTGTAATTGTCTCATCAGATAAGTAAAATGAAAATGTCCGAATCAACTGTTAGTTTGCACATCTTCTGCCCCAGGATGAGGTGCTAGGTTAATTTGACTTGCACTAAATCTTAAATATTACCTCGAGATAACCGCTTATCTGAGGATCTGATGGCATTGGTGTCCCTTTTATATGCTTCCTGCGCCTGCATTGTCTGTCTCGAGCTAAAACTGAGAGTTGTCTCCAGCAGTGATTGAGCCATCATGTCTGACAAGAAGGCAGTGATTAAGAATGCAGACATGTCTGAAGAAATGCAGCAGGATGCAGTGGACTGTGCCATGCAGGCCATGGAGAAGTACAACATTGAGAAGGATATTGCTGCCTATGTCAAAAAGGTATAATACTACTTTAAATGGACAATACTGATGAACCGCTTTAGGTTTTCTTAACTCTTATTTCTTCTGCAGGAGTTTGACAAGAAGTACAACCCCACATGGCACTGCATTGTTGGGAGGAACTTTGGCAGCTATGTGACACATGAAACTAAACATTTCATCTACTTCTACCTGGGTCAAGTGGCTATTCTGCTGTTCAAGTCGGGCTGAAACCTCGCATCTGTGCCACATTGTGTATTTGATGCCGCCCTTGTGCAGACATGCCTACCTCCTGGTTTCCTGCTCACTTCAGTTACGTTGTGCCATCTGCAACATTTACATCGATGGACGGTGCTTTAGTTTAGCCATGTCTAGACTGGTGACTCATCTTTCATTCAAATGCTACAATAATGCTGATTCTGATAGCTTTTAGCTAGCATTCATATGCAGCATCAGTTATGACTTATATTCTGGATTTGTGTTTTTGTTTGCTGCATCATGCAAGCCTGTCAAGTTATTTCATATAATTATTTTTTGTAAAGTAACTTATTTTCATTGCATTAAAATAAGCAACAGGTTTTTGTCAAATGCCTTTTCTGTGACAACTAAGTGACTGAAAAATACTGAGACTGTTGCTAAACTTAATAAAAACAGTGACTTGTTAAGAGATTTGGAGGTCTGTACGTGCTTGAACATTCCCAGTTGTTTGCAATGTAGCTGACACATAAACTCGATTGTGATTTTTTTTTTAAACAATCATTAGTTCCAACATGTTGCGCACAAACTAAACATGATTAAATTGGTTAGAAATGTCAGTTTTTTATGGTTCTGTTTTTTTGTATGCAGGAATGGTGCACAAAATAAAAATTCAATTCAAGAAAAGCATTAACCAACTGATCGCAGAGTTGCATGTTTTTCCCAGCTCTTGAAAGAAATGTTTTTCTAAAATGTAGGGCAAGAAACCAGCTAAATTAAAAGAAATATTAAATGTGTAAAAGGGGTCGTAGAATAGAAATGCGCATCTAACAATTTCCTTTATTCTGCTGCTCCAACAGACCAAAATAGAAGAGGGCTAATGCCACTTCGGATTAATAGTAAAATGTCTTCAGGGGCTCCCTTTGCTCTCCAAAAGCTTTCAATCTCCTCAACAGGTAGTCCGTTCCAACCAGGGGTGATTCTAGCATGGGACATTATGGGGTTCTGGGCACCCAGTTGTCTGATAGTGTTCTTTGTTTTGCCAGTGGAGGACGCAAGATCCCCATCCTTTCAAGGCATTATGTTTAAGAAAAGTTTAGAAAAAGTGTCTACTAAGAAACTCTTGCAAAGGTCTGACAAAAACATACAGTATCAAAAGTACTGTGATTCATTTTGGTTATTGGTTACTTAACCAAAAACAAGTGTATAATTAGAGGTGCTGGCACTCAATTTAGGATTGCTTCAGCACCCATCTTGTAAAGAGAATCAGTGTTGTGACTCTAGTCCATTGTTCATGTCAACACCAGGTACTTATAGGAGTCAGGATTCAAAGCTTTATTGTCATATGTAATGAAGGAGATGTGTTTCCCTGCACTGTAAAATTCTGATTTGGCTGCCCACACCAGGTCACAAATTCATCACACATAAAAATACACAGGTTAAAAGGGGAAAAAAAAAATATATATATATATATATATATATATATATATATATATATATATATATATATATATACCTCGTCTGGCTTCAGCTAGAAATAAAATTGGATGTTTTGTTTCTCAAAGTTGGATACAGCCTTCTATCTGTAGGGGACAGTAACGTGCGCGAGACCACTAGAAAGGAAAGGCAACTAAACTATTTCCGGTGGATAGAAAGCATGGCGGTTTCCGCTTCTGTCGGGTTGTCTTCCCCGGCTTTTTGCCGCCGAGCTGTCCCTCCTTACCCCTCGGTGGCTTTGTCCGCCGAAGCCGCTCCGTTTACTCCCTTATTGGCGGACAGGTCACATCTCGAGGGCCTGTCCGACGCGGAGGAGCAGTTTTCCCGCTGTGCAGCGAAGCTCCGAGCCCTGCGAACCGATTCTAACCAGCTGAGAGAGGAGCTCAACCAGCTGTTCGACCAGCTGCTGTCCGAGAATTACAACAGAACATTTGACCCCGTTGTCAACATCCGGTCTGAGGTACACCTGCGGGCTTCTCGGTATTATCGTAGATTAATTATTGCGGTGTGTGTGGTCGTTCTGAGTTTCTGTTTTGATTTCAGGATGTGTGTGTTCTCCTCAAACATGTCTGCACTCTGGTACCACTGAGTCAAGAACATTTAGTTGCCAAATTCTGCCAGCTTGTACACCATCTCCTGAATCAACTAAAGGTAACAGATTTGCAGGAAAAATCCCAGAACTCAACTGAGAAAATTTCACTATGCAGTTATTATTATTATTTGTGTGCGTTTTAAGCTAATTTTGGACGAGCACACTCTGGATGTGTTGGTGAAATATACTTCAGTTGCTTTGAAAGAATGCAGCACGTGGACACACTCCGATGTCCTCCTGGCCATCTCCACAGTCGTGTATGGGAATGGATTTCAGTGCCACCAGGTAGATGTTACCACTACGTGCTGTGAGAGTTTGTATAATCTTCTTCCAAGTGTTTGACGTGAATCCTCTCATTCACAGTTTGTGAGCAACTTACTGTGTGAAGACGGAGTTCTTCTGCAGTACAGTTCTCCATGTCAGCCGAATATTGAGTTACGGCGAGTTGCCCTCACTTGCATGGCCAACATCTGTCTTAGGTGGGCATCATCAGTCATCAGTAGTTATATTTTGCATTAAAAAAATCTTCATTGTTTTCTTTATTGGTAACGCTCTGAAATGGTCACCTGTAGGATTCCTGGTCAGCAACCTTTGGATGATCGGTACAGAAGTGCTTGTTTTGGGGTCTTCCTCAAAACGCTGCATTCTCCCAAACCTCCTGACACAGACGACCTCTTTTACTGCATGGTACCAATACGTTTAGTGCTCCAAGAGTTAAAATGCAAAAACAAAAATCTGTTAAATTAACAGTTTTTGTCACTTTTGTTGTCTGTGCAGGTAATCCAAGCTGCACTAAAGGGACTCCAGTGCTGTCTCTCTGCTGGAAAGTGGACGTTTGGAGGAGGAGACATGCTTGGATCTCTACTGGCTGCTCTTAAGGTGGAAAACTTTCCCCTTTTTTCATAATATGCGATATTCATCATGGTCAAACTCCCCTTCTTGGAGGCTTACATCTGTTTTTCCACAGAGGGTCATGTTCCAGGGAGCTCCGGGTATAAGTGTGGAGTGGCCAGCCGTGCTTTACCCAGCGCCTCTGTCCCAGTATGAAGGTGTCCCAGTGAAAAAAACTGCTGAACCACAGAAACCTTCAGAAACGCCAAAAGATTCCAATGTGGCTGGAAAAGCTGCAGGAGTAAGGAGAGCTTTGTCTGTGTCGTTATCAAACAAAAGCCCACTTTCATTGATTTATTATGACATTCTTTTTATTTTTCTAAGAAAAAGAAGAGGAAATCTAAGGGGAAAGGCAAGAAGTCGAAGGCCGAGGATGGCGTGGATGACGGAGAGGAGAAGGAGGAGGCGGCTGCTCATCAGAAAGGAGGAGAAGGAGGCAGAGATGAGAGGGAGACGTCATCTAAGCTCTCTGCTTCGTTTCTCTACCCATCCTGGAAGCTGAACAGTTCAGACTCTGAGTATTCTGATGCAGAGGGAAATGCACAAACCAAGTTAAGGTACAAAGGACCATTTCCAAGCATACAAAGGTTTGGATAAAGCCTTAAACTGCAGTTTTTTGCCGTTTTTAGACTCTATCACGGCCGCGTGCGCCAGGCTGCGCTGCACTGCATGCTAGCAGTGGTAAAAGCTGTAGAGAAGAGGACCTTATATGGATACTGGTCCTCCTTCATCCCTGACTCCCCCACTGGGGGGCCGCCTCCTTTAACCCTCCTCACAGTTATACTCAAGGACCCCTTGCCAAAGGTAGATCACAGCACATGTTACAGTTCTCATCCATATTTTTGACATGTGACATGAGACGAGTGATTTCTCTCCTTTCAGGTGCGGCTGTGTGCACTTCAGGTGTTGTCGGCCATATTGGACAGCTCCCGTCAGTTCTTGGCTGTGGCCGAGGACACAACGTCTCCTCGTACATCTTACACCCCTTTCTCCCTCACGCTGGCTACTGCCATCAGGGAGCTGCACCGCTCTCTGAGTCTGGCTCTTGTGGCTGAGACCTCCCCTCAAACACTCACACAGGTCATAAAGGTACAATGTTGCTCTTTTTTTTTATTTCTATGTCCATCAGCAAATGATCAACCTTCACTTTGAGCTTCTGTGTTTTTAGTGTCTTGCCTTCCTGGTGTCCAACGCTCCCTATCATCGTCTCAGACCCGGTCTGCTCGGCCAGCTCTGGAAGCAGATCCGTCCTTACGTGCGCCACAGAGGCATGTGCATTGTCCTCAGAAATGAACGCTGTCCTCGCAAAGTTTGTTTCTGATTGCTGAACTGCCCCGCCTTTAGATGCCACTGTGCGCGTGTCGGCGTTGACGCTGTACGGGGCTTTGGTGACAACTCAGGCCCCCCTCCCGGAGGTGCAGCTTCTCCTCCAGCAGCCAGAAGAAAGTGGCTGCAGCGTCCCTGGATCGTTCACACCACAGGACTCGTCTCTCAGCTGGAGACAAAGAAGTGGCACAGCCTCGCCTGCTCGCGCTCCCGCAGCGTCCTCCCAGCAGAGCTCGTGCACTCAGTCCCCACGCCTCCCACAAACACCTGGAGAGGGGGAGTCGTCCCCACCGTGGCTGCTGCAGCTGTGTGTGCTGCTGGTGACTCAGCCCAGGGAGAACCAATCAGACAGTGAGGGAGCGGGAGGGGGGTCTGCGTTGGAGCCCCCTCCTGTTCGACTAGCGGCTCTGCAGGTGAGCGACAGTGAGGCCTAGCTTTCTCTCAGGGATTTTTAAAAAAATATATCAAACAGCATCTCGATTAGACTGTGTTGCAAAAGACTCTCAGCTGCTGCAGCGTGAAAATTTAGCGCATTAATGCCAAGTTTGATTAGCCGCAGCAGCCATGTTGATGCTAAAAGTTAAATTGTTGAAGCTGATCGTTCAGGGAAACCTTCAGCAGAAAGGTTGAAGTGGTTTTATATTTCCTCCTGTGTGTTGGCACACTTTCCTCAGGTCCTCTCATACCTGGTGCGTGGTTACTTCTCTCTGACCCAGTCGAGCATGGGCGACATCGGACAGGTGAGCGCTCGCTGTCTGGGGGAGACGGACTCCTCCATACAATTACATGGAGCGAAGGTAATGCCCTCCACTTCCTGCGTGAGCATAAATAAAATACTGTAGTGAAATGCTTAGAGGTGGCACAAGCACTTAAAATGTAACGCGCTGCTTTTTAGCTTCTAGAAGAGTTTGGGACAGGAGTTATTCTGCAGTATAGAGCAGAGAGCAACATTCCAGAAAGCTCAAGAATTCCCGTGTACCAAGTAAGCTTCCCGTTACTTTTACAGAAATGCATTGAAGTCGTTGTGTTCTTTAACTTTTCATGTGTTCCTACACAATTTTAACAGATTACCATTAATGCTAAAGAAAAGCGAGACACTCCTCGCTAAAGTGATGCTTTTGCACGATGTAGGTGGTGCAGTTCTGGTCAGAGGTGCTGAGCGGCCCACTGAACCGAGCGCTGCAGAATGAACAAGATCCCGTCCTGCAGGCGAGCGCCTGCGACACCCTGGCCTCCATCCTGCCGCAGGCCTTCGCTCAGCTTCCTGTCAGTCTTCTCCTCTCATCCTCGTCTGTGTGTTCTCCAAGGTCTTCATAGATTTGTTCTTCTGGTTTTAAGGACAAAACTCAGCTGATGTGCATCACCATGCTGCTCGGGCTGACTTACGTCGAGAACTATCTGGTGAAGATGGCAGCCGTCCGAGCTTTGGGAGTCTACGTCCTGTTCCCTTGTTTGAGAGAGGTAGAGATGTCTGATTAAAATGATGTAGAGGAAAGTTGCCATTAATCCAAACTGTCTCTTCAGGATGTGATGTTTGTGGCGGATACTGCAAACATTATCCTCGCTGCCATCGAGGATCGATCGCGAAACGTGCGCTCCAAGGCAGCGTGGTCGCTGGCAAATCTCACAGACACGCTCATCGTCAACATGTAAGAGCAAACGGGTGTGCAGTGGGTTAACGGGATTATAGATTTGGTAATAAACTGGGTGAAATCGAGAGTTAAAGCGCTGAAACGTGAAGTCGGATTGTGCATTTTTGCTTTAATTGGAATAAAAAATAATGAAACCTACAGTAACGAGAGCTAAATACACTGCCAATTAATTCTCTTAGAATGGTTCATTTGATGTGTTTTTAATCAGGGTGTTAGGCTTTCACTAAATGAGCTCAGTCTGTCTGTAATGGGGGCATCTCCTGTTTTTCATCAGGCAGAGTGTCGGTGTGGATTTCCAAGAGGAGTTATCCGACATGCTTCTGCTCAAGATGCTGCAGGCCGCCACTCAGGCGTCTACCGACAAAGACAAGGTGAGACCGTTCCCAGAAGACGACACGAACATTTGTTTTTTATCTGTTGTAAACCGTCTGAACCATCTCCAGGTCAAGTCTAATGCGGTGCGAGTGCTCGGAAATCTGCTCCATTTCCTGCGTGACAGTCAGATGACGCGGTCTGCGTTCCAGCGACCGTTGGAGGACGCGGTCCGTGCTCTGATCAGAACGGTCCTGTCGGACGCTACGATGAAGGTCAGATGGAACGCGTGTTACGCGTTGGGGAACGCTTTCAGAAACCAAACTTTGCCCCTCGGTGAGTATTAAGGTGCATCGATGTTTTGAATGTTGCTTAAGTCAAATTTAACTCTTGTTTTTTTGTTTTTTTTTTAACAGATTCGGCCCCGTGGTCTCACGATGCGTTCTCTGCCCTCTGCCACGTCGTCACTTCCTGTGAGAACTTCAAAGTCCGGATTAAATCTGCTGCTGCCCTCGCGGTTCCAGCTCGTCGGGACTGCTACGGAGACGCCAAACGCTTCGGATGCATTTGGCACTCGCTGGCGATGGCGCTGGAGAACAGCGAGGACACAAATGACTTCCTAGAGTATCGCTACAGCGCCAGCCTGCGACACACACTCTCACAAGCTCTTCTGCACCTGCTGAGCGTCAGTGAGTTGCAGGACATGCCCGTCCTCTCCACATCGCTGGCTGGGGAAGAGGGTAGGGGCATCAAAGTCCATCTGCTCAAGTATCTTAAAGAAAGCGAAGGAGGAGGAGAAAAGGATGAAGAAGCAGAGGGAGAGCGGAACTCGTCAGGGACCGGCTGTCCCCCACAGCAGAGGATTGCTGGTGTGCAGCAGACGCTGGTCAGACTTAAAGAGCTAAAGCCTGGAGGGGAGGGGGTGTCGGAGGAGAGAGGAAAGGAAATGGTGATCCTTTTTCTGGAGGATCTTTTAAAAATGTGTGAAGAGTTTTAGTTTTTGTTGTAAACATGTTTCAGATCTGAGCTTCGTTATTAGTAATGTGGCAGTGTGAGCGTCCTGTCACAGCGTCCCGATTGATCATGCGCCCTGGCTACTTGGCCAAGGGGATGTCCCTTTGGCTGACTGGTTGGTGCGTATGACTCTCACCCGGGAGTCTGGGGATCGAATCCCGCCTGGACTCTCGTTTCTCCGCCTTTCCACAGTAAATAAGTAAATTTCATTTATAAAGCACTTATCACAGAGATAGAATCACAAAGTGCTTCACATAGATCAAAACTAAATAAAACAAAGTCATAAAATCAAAATGCTCTCAAAACAGAATCGATTAACATCAGGAAAAAATAAAGTCTTAAAATTATAACATTTCATAAACGGATGAAAGATTAAAAAATTTGAGTTAAATAAGAACATAAAAGGTTTAGTTAAAAGCAGCTTTAAATAAAAGGGTCTTTAGCTGTGTTTTAAACGTGTCCAGACTCAATGCTGCGTAAGGATAAAGGAAGATCATTCCAGAGTCGGGGTGCAGCAGTCTGGAAGGAGCGATCACCTCGACTTTTATATCTGGTCTTTGGAACTTCTAGAAGATTCTGGTGTGCGGACCTGAGGGCTCGGGTTGGAGCATAAGGCTTTTAACAGCTCAGTAATATAGGGAGGAGCTTGACCATGTAGAGCATTGGAAGTTATAGTCAGGATTCTAAAATGAACTCTAAAGTTAGCAGGTAACCAGTGCAGAGACTCCAGAATAGGAGTGATGTGAGCTCTTCTGTTTGCTCCAGTTAAGAGCCTCGCTGCAGAGTTCTGGACCACCTGAAGACGGTCAAGGGCTTTTTGGTTAAAACATGTGAAGAGTGTGTTACAGTAATCTAGACGGGAGGAGATGAAGGCATGGAGAACCATTTCAAGTTCATGTTTTGACACCAACCTTCACAGTTTGGAGATGTTCCTTAAGTGATCAAAACGGTTTCGGACCAACGTTTTTGAGTGACCTTCAAGAAACATTGATTGGTAAAAAATAACACCCAAATTCCTTAAGGCTGTCTTGTCTTATTAGTAACCCTAACTGAACGTAAACTGTTTTTTGTATCAAAATGACAACAATCCAAACAATCAGTGTGTTGAGACCTGGTTTGTGGCACTGCTACATAAAGTGGAGACTGAACACAAGTGGGAATTAGGATTTATATAATCAGAGGACCACGCAGGCAAAGGCCTCAGTGAATCACTGATCGGTGTTCGAGCAGGACATAACCACACGCTGCAATTAAGGGCTGTATACAGCCAGGCCAATGAGACACAGAGGGGTATACAAATTAGAAGACCCCAAAAACAGGAATGGCTTTGCAGTTTGAGGTCACACTACACTATGCTGGTATTTGCCAGAACATCCAACATTTTTCACTAATTCACTCGAAACTCACAACAGACGTGAAAGCTATGCAGCACTGTTCAGCATGCCTAATTTGGTACTGGGTCTTTGTTAGTGTGGGTAGGCTTATTTATGGAGTGGGACACAGACCTATATGTGATAGACAATGGCCTGCTGTCATCAATTAGGTATGCAGACAGGCAGTTCCTGGAGGATGAAAGAATTAATACATTTAACTGGTCTCTATGTTCGCCTTTCCAGTAGCGCATCCTTGGAACATCATGATTAGGTCCTTTCAGCACCACCAGATTGTTTAAACATGCACTGCTCAAGACAACCATAAACTGAGCAAGAGTCCCTTCCAAACATGGACGAGCTCACTGAGGCTGTCATCTTAATAGACTTGGTCTGGGTTTAACAAAAATTAAAATGGCATTAAAATGAAACAAAAGCTGCATTGGGTTTTAAAGCCATTGTGCCTTGATCATCAGTATGTGTGTGTACATTAGACTTAAACCTGTAAAATGCTTATATGGTAAGCATTTTTTGTATTCAGTCGTGTTGTAACAATGTTTACCAATAAATCATATTGTTGGAAAGCTTGATTAATTAACTTTCATATTAATTTCTTTGTTTAGGTTTTATTACGTTTAACAATGATTGCAGTATCGCATTTAAACCACCAGATGGCAGTAGCGTTAAAATGGATTTATCCAGTGACCCGGATGTTGATTAGGGCTGCGTGGATCCGGACCACGCTGCTGGTAACGCTACGGCTATGGACACATTTGAGTTGTTTCGTAAACTCGGAGCTGGAGCGAAATTTGATTTGAAGAGATTTGGTCAAGACGCCGCTCGGTTTAAGGTAAGTTTAGTAGCAGAAGCTAATAAAACAAAGAAAACAGCGGCAACACTAGCTCCTGCTGATGTTGGCTAACAGCGACCCTATTGTTATTTATTGTTGTTTAGGGGTATACTACAGCATAATTCCTTAAATTGTGAGAGTGGCATTTGAGTATACATCGCTTTTGTTCTCCTGTCCTTCTGTAGGTGTCCAGATCTCAGGGAGAGGAAAACACTTCTGATCGTCTTTCTGTGATCGACTACTTTGGTGCAGGATCAGCTAATGGAGCCCAGAGTGATGAAGAAGGGAGCGGAGATAACGAAAAAGGGGGCAGAAGGAAGCGCAAAGAGGAGGTGAAAGATGTAAAGCTGAAGAAGAAACGGGCTAAAAGAAATCAGGGAGAACTGGAAGGTAAAGACAACATCCAGAGAGCATTTTTGGTGTCCCGATGAAGCAAAAGTTGACATAAAATCTGGTGAAATATGATTCAGTGGTTATGTTTATTCTTTGTAACTCACTGGATGTGGCTGTCTAAATTAATGTTTTTCTCTTATTCTTGTGTTTCACTCAAGCTGGTGGCAGACAGCCGAACAAAGAAAGCTCGGTCACGTGGACGTCCTCGCTGGAGGAAAACCAAAGTGATGGGAAAGAGAAGTCCTCGTTGAGGAGGTTGAAACACCTACATCAGGAAAAGGTTTTCACAAAAGAAGTTGTTGCTTTGACATTGAACATTCTGTGCTCTACACACTCTAAACTTCTCTCTTTTTTTTTTTTTTTTTTACCATTAAGGTGAATCGTATTCGCACCGAACACCGTATCAACGTGCACGGCTGCGACGTCCCTGACCCCGTGTGTACGTTTGAGGAGCTGCAATCGGAGTATCGTCTCAACCCGTGTATTCTCCAGAACCTCAAAGATGCGGGACTGAACGCTCCAACGCCGATCCAGATGCAGGCGATACCTCTCATGATGCATGTGAGGACACACGCACACGTTTGTCAGCCTGTGAACAGAGCTCAGCTTTTCGAGAAGGGTTTCTCATGCCCTTGTTTATGGCCCAGGGTCGGGAGCTCTTGGCGTGCGCTCCGACGGGATCAGGAAAAACGCTGGCGTTCTCACTCCCTCTACTAGCGCACCTTCAGCAGCCTGCAAATCTGGGCTTCAGAGCCCTGATCATCTCCCCGACCAGAGAACTGGCCAGCCAGGTGAGACTGTTGCAACATCAGTTAGAAACGTGTATTTTTAAAACGTAACAAGAACATTTTTAGGCAGTTTGAAATGAAAGAGTGGGTTTTTTTATGTTCTTAAAGCGTAAAAACGTCTCGTTCTGATCAGACCTACAGAGAACTGCTCCGCTTGTCAGAGGGAGTTGGCTTCAGGGTTCACATCATTGATAAAGCTTCCCTCGCTGCCAAGAAATATGGACCCCAGTCAAACAAGAAATACGGTCAATTAAAGCAAACATCTTCATTTGAATTAAAGCGTGAAATCTTGCTTTTCCTCACTGTATAAATCCTGTTTCTGTGTGTAGATATTCTTGTCAGCACTCCAAACAGACTCATCTACCTTCTGAAGCAGGATCCTCCCGCTGTAGACCTCAGCAGGTAACATTTGCTTTGCTCTCTTCTTTTTTGTTATCCTAATTTTTTCACCGACGTTGTTTTGCTGCCCAGCGTGGAGTGGCTGGTGGTGGACGAGTCCGATAAGCTGTTTGAGGGCGGTAAGACGGGCTTCAGAGAGCAGCTGGCCACGGTTTTTCTCGCCTGCTCCGGAGCAAAGGTGCGCAGGGCTTTCTTCAGCGCCACGTGCACGTCGGAGGTGGAACAGTGGTGCCGACTCAACCTGGACAACCTGGTTTCTGTCAACATTGGCCACAGGTGAGCCCTCACCAGTATGAGCGCTTCTGGTGTGGGTTTGTTTCATATCTTCGGTGTTGTTCTGCAGGAACACGGCGGTGGAGACGGTGGAACAAGAGCTGCTTTTTGTCGGAACGGAGAACGGGAAGCTCGTTGCCGTGAGGGACATCATTAAAAAAGTAAAACGGGTTGAAGAGTTTTGGTTTTTAAGCTTTTCTCAGGTGAAACAAAGATGTGTTTGCTTTGTTTTCAGGGTTTCCTGCCTCCCATGCTGGTGTTTGTTCAGTCTATAGAACGAGCTCGGGAGCTCTTCCATGAGCTGGTTTACGAAGGCATCAACGTTGACGTGATCCACGCCGAGCGTACGCAGCAGCAGGTGCAGCTAGACGCCAGTCGCTCACCATTAGGGTTATATGTGATGACCTTTGTGTTATTGGTGTCCTCTTCTGTCTCAGAGGGACAACGTGGTGAACAGCTTCCGCTCCGGTAAGATTTGGGTGTTGATCTGCACGGCTCTGCTCGCCAGAGGAATCGACTTCAAAGGAGTGAACCTCGTGCTGAATTACGACTTTCCCACCAGCTCTGTGGAGTACATTCACCGAATCGGTTCGTCCAGGAAACAAACGGCAGTTTTGTGAAAAAAGACCGAAACGTTGATGTTCCGTTTCACAGATTTTTACTCCAGTTTTGACATTTTCTTACGTAGTAAATTATAATAATTTCCAAATGATGACTCGAAACAAAAATCGAGGGAAGTCAGAGTACCAGAACATTTATTTTTCCTCATTTATTGTCTCTCTGTTTATTTTCAGGTCGCACTGGCAGAGCGGGACATCGGGGCAAGGCCATCACCTTGTTCACAGAGAACGACAAGCCGCTGCTTCGCAGGTAAAAAACACGAACTCATAAACATGTACGAGTTGTTTTTGTGCATCTCTGCCCTCTACAGAATATCTGACTTGAGTTTAGGTGTGGGCATTTATGTTTTTCACCTTATATTGGTTCATCAGAGCGGGACAGGGCACATTAACTCATTTGCTGCCAGCGTTCCTCACCGTTTTTACTGTTTTTTTAAGAGTGACAGAACGTTGTGTGCTAGCATGATGTCGACGCCAAAACTACCAAAACAAAGCGGAGACTCGCCTCTTACATCAGGAAGAATCAGCGCGTTTCGAGCTTTATCCGTTCTTTTATAATCTGTTGTTGAATTGTGATCGGCAGAAGCTTTTCCGGTTCGTGCCTCACTTTTTTTACAGCAGCGGCTCAAAACGATCTCCTAACATGGATTTTCTGCTGCCTGATCACGTGACGTGTGACGAATGCGGGTGAAGATCGGCTTTAGAGCTGGGATGTTTGTTCTCACGGTGCGGGGGCTCGTTCCAACGCCCACACAGTAAAAACATAGTCGTCATTGGCAGTGAATGAGTTAATACATTAAAAAAATAAACTTTTTTACCTTATTGTCTGTTTCTCATCTAAACAGCATAGCTAATGTCATAAAACAAGCTGGCTGTCCAGTACCGGACTACATGATAGGCTTCAAGAAAATACACAGGTACGAACCTAAAACCCTTTACCTTTTATTAAACTCCACCCAGTTCCATGTTGGTTTAACTCTGGACTTACTTCCTCCTGCAAGCCTTAGCTCCTGCAGAGCTTATCTTTTGTTGCGCTGATGGCCCATTTACCGAAATCTACCATTGCACATTGCCACATTTGCGTTTGCATTTGCTCCGATTCATCAGATGAGGTATCAGTGACCTGGAGAAACACTGAAACCTCTCCTCCATCAGAGTCTGCTTCGTCCATTTCCTGAAGCATGGCCGGAGCCTGTTGCGCGTTCAGGTTCCTCCTGTGTGGCTGTGATCCAGAAGCCATCGTGCTGTGCGTTCTGAGAAATGCCAAGAAGAAATGACTTTCCCTCATGGAGACCTCTGCTTTTATACACATTCAGTGATGCAAAAATCCTCCACCCGGGTTTACCCTGGCTTACAAATGCAAATCATGTTGCCCTTGCAGAACCAACTAGACCTGTCCGGCGTTCTAAGCTGAGTGAACGGGGTAGAAGGGCCTTGGTCAGGAAGGTGACCAAGACCCCGATGGTCACTCTGTCAGAGCTCCAGCATTGCTCTGTGGAGAGAGGAGAACCTTCCAGAAGGACATCCATCTCTGTAGCAATCCACCAATCAGGCCTGTATGGAGGAGTGCCCAGGCGGAAGCCACTCTTATGTAAAAGACACACGACAGCCTGCCTGGAGTTTGCTCAAAGGCACCTTATGGGCTCTCAGACCATGAGAAACTAAATCCTCTGGTCTGATGAGACAAAAATTGAACTCTTTTGAGAATTTTGGAGAAAATACCATCCCTACAGTGAAGCATAGTGGTGGCAGCAAAAAAAGTGGAAAAACTGGTTTTACCTGGCTTGCAATTGTAAACATCAAGCCCTGGCAGAACCCCCCACCCCCCCACCCCACCCCCCGTTTAGTGGCTCATCAGCAAAACAAAAGGAAGACAATTGAGCAAGCCAGGGACGCCTGGAGCCTGATTTTGCACTAATTTGCGCGGGCTCAGTAAATCTAGTGTTAATCATCACTTTTGTTTTTAGCAAAGTAAAGCGAAGGCTTGAGAAGAAACCTCCCAGGAGAACCACCATTTGCACGACTCCTCGCTTTCTGATGAAGAAAAAGGGCAAAGAGCAGAAAACCGGACAAAAGCGAGCAGCGAGTGGGACGCAGAAAGGAGAGGCTGAAGCTCCACAGCAGCAGAGAGCGCTTAAGAAGAGGAAAGGAGGAGCAGGACCACTCACAGAAGCAACGCAGAAGATGGTGTCAGGAGTTAAAGCTAAAAAGTAAAGAAAGTTTGTGTCTAACTTAGAAAATCTGCCTTATTGGTTAATAAATCTGTCTCTTTTTATCAGGAAAAAGGGGACACGAAAGAGGGACGGAAGAACAGTGGTACAAACAGACCACTAAGAAGATGAATATGGACTTTGGTCTTTAATTTAATCAAAATTCAACAGTTTATTATTTTCACATTTGTACTTTGTCGGAGTAAAAATAAACTGTTATGTTACTTTAGCTTTTAAAAACATGGTTGTCATTTTCTTTAAAAAAAAACATTAAAAATACTAAAACATTTATGTGAATGGTAAAAAAAACAATATTCATATTGGAAACAGGGACAGACCGGAAGTTGAGGTGGTCACCCAAATATCAGGAAATAACACTCCCCATTGTCGAGCCGGTCGTGTTGATGTGACCTGTGTGGGGGTGCATGCTGCTGCTGTAACACCGGTAATGATATTATGATCATGGAATTTTGCTTAATAAATTGGGCTTGAGTACCTGACCCTTTTGTCCGAAGAGCACAAACTGCCCTTTTTCCGGTCTTCCTTCAGGTTTTACCGTCCAAAATTGTCAAGCATGTCACTGATGGGAGGGTCATTTCTGGTTTTGGTTCTTGTTTTTCTGGTGAATCTGTTGACAACTTTAGCTCTGTATGTGCCCCCTTTTTTAAATTTGAGCACCCACCCCTTGAAAGGTCTGCACAAAACGGGGTCGGAAAACTACGTAAGCAACTTTCCACGCAAACTTTGGGATTTATGAAAGAAAACTTAGCAGAAAAATGTGCACAACTTTAAGTTGACTAAGGAACTTGCTTACGCACATTTTAGACATGGAGAGCACCTGCAGTGCTGCTGCTGAGAAGGATAAAATTATGAAATCCTGCAGCATTTTGTACTGCTTCGTTTTCACACAGAACACGGCTTAAAGTTGCGCACATTTTTCCGCTAAGTTTTCTTTCATAAATCCCAAAGTTTGCGTGGAAAGTTGCTTACGCAGTTTCCGACCCCGTTTTGTGCGTAAGCAAGCCCCTGGTCTCAACCGTGAGAGTTGGCAGCCCTGGTTTACGTAATCATACTACATTCCAGTTGATGGCGGTAGCGTGCCAAAATGTTTCAGACTAACCGCCGTTAAACATGAAGAAAAGCTAACGCATGCGTACTGATCCATCTTGTCGCATCGCGAGAGGGATTTGAAATCTCGCCCTTGCATTATACTGCTGGAAACCCCGTCCCTTCTTCCTTTTCTCAACATGGCACCGAAGGTGAAGAAGGAAGGTTCGTTAATCTACTATTTATATGTTAATAAATCGGACAATGTACTTGTATTACAACGCAAGTATTCAAAATACTGGTTCAGTATAAACCTACAGGGGTTTGAATAGCGTCAGTATGTGGCTGGCTGCTCTACAAAAAGCTATTTATCTTAATGGATGCGGCACGTACAAAATGTGAGTTAAGCTAACGTTAGCACTGATGATGCCGACAAAACGTGGTCTACACCCAGCTCGTCAATCTATGTACTCATTATATTGTTTTTTATTAAAAAAGCGTTTCTTATTACACTTTCCACGTACTCGTTTGGCTGTTTGCATGAAGAATGTATGATTGTAAACCTTTGCTAGCTGCGTAGCTATACTATGAGAGACTTTGAGCGTTAGTATATTTTTTCAGTACACTTTGGCTGTGGGAAGTGAGAGAATCGAGCTAACTTTTAGGATTCCATGTAAACCTTTTTTCGAATGATAGAACAAGACGGTAATTTAGAGTCACATTTTAGCAGTCAGACTTGAGTATGCAGTGTCCCAGGACTTAATACGTGATATCTTGAGCATCTACGCATTTTTGTGTTCTCCAGAGATCATTTATGACTTAAAATTGATGTGTTACGTTGTGTGCTGCTTAAGGACTGAGTGGATTTTATGTGTTGTAGCTGTCCCTGCCAAGACTGAGGCCAAGTCAAAGGCTCTGAAGGCCAAAAAGGCTGTACTTAAAGGTGTACACAGCCAGAAGAAAAAGAAGATCAGGACTTCTCCTACCTTCCGTCGCCCTAAAACCCTCCGTCTCCGCAGACAGCCCAAGTATCCTCGCAAGAGTGCTCCTCGTAGGAACAAGTGAGTTACAGGCACCTGGGAAAGTGTTGAAATTGGTGCACGTGATGGTCAAAGCGATCAAAGTATGACACAGTCTGATTCCAACTTTATAAACTACTGATGCACCTGCAGTTCACCTTTACTGTTGTTCGTCTAGAAAAGGTCTCTCTAGTCTTAATTTAGGCTGTACTAATGACGTGCTTCCACACGTTTCTTTCTTAGGCTGGATCACTATGCCATCATCAAGTTCCCTTTGACAACAGAGTCTGCTATGAAAAAGATTGAAGATAACAACACGCTTGTGTTCATCGTGGATGTCAAAGCTAACAAACATCAGATCAAACACGCTGTCAAGAAGCTGTATGATATTGATGTCGCCAAAGTCAACACACTCATCAGGTAAGCTGTCTGGAGCCGGGCTGAAGTGGATGCAGCTGTCAGATTGAAATACTGGTGTGGTGACTTAATGTAGCTTTCATTCAAAATGCCCAAGTGAAGAGTCCCGTCACTTTGGTTTTTGTGCTTTTATTCGCTCAAGTGTAGGTTCCAATTCAGTCCAGCTTTTAATGTGAGGTGTTGAGGTATTAATGTTCCAGGAATATTTCTGATTACTACGTTTTGTTGCTTTAACTTGTCAGGCCTGACGGCGAGAAGAAGGCGTACGTTCGTCTCGCACCAGATTATGATGCGTTGGATGTTGCAAACAAGGTAAGCATTTCCAAGTTTACTGAGAAACTGGATTTACAATATGTGCATATGATGTAAACATTTTTTTTTGTCTGACTGCCTGTGATGCTTTCAAAGGAACCACTGATGCCAAACAAGTCTCATGTGGATGTGTTTATGTTGCTAATCAACATCAACTAAATTATGTCCTTTTTGTCTTTGCAGATTGGCATCATCTAAACTGTGGCTGACAAAACTTGTGGAAAATAAATATTTGTAAAAATGTACCATCTCCTTGTGTTTGAGAACTTTATTTCCTACCTGGTAACCCATAACAGTTTTACCAGATTACATTCAATTTGTCCAATATTGTTTGTCCAAAACCTGGGACAAAAAGGCCATTATCAACCAGAAGTGGCTAGAACACAGAACACTTTATTCTGTACTTAATGAAGAAAGTGGCATTTTAGCATAAAACATGTTTATCTTGCAGGAATTAACTGAAATGGTATTGAGCTGAGGCATGTTAGACGACTAGTTCACTGGTATAACTTGAAACCACAAAGTATCTCTACAGATCTAAATGACCACTTTAATATTTAAAGATACCAATTGTTTACCATACTTGAGATTAAAAACCTTTTGAGTTTCTAGTTCTAGATTAAAAAGTCTATAAAACACGAATGCGTGTAGCATGTTGCCCTTTGGTCACAGCAGCCTGTTGGTTATGAGAGGAAGGTTCGGACCGTGCCTTTAACCAGACCTCTGCAGATAGGGCACTTCCTCAGGGAGGGTGCACACTCTTTGCACACCACCAGATGTCCACAAGGGATGAAGACGATGTTGACCTCTTTGTCCATACACACCTTGCAGGTGCGCTCCTCCTGCAGGCGGCGCAGCTGCTCCTCCATGGGTAGGTCTGAAAAACATTTTGGTCAAAATCAGAAATTAATAGACAAATTAAGATTTTACATAAATGTCCTACAGCCTAAGTCACACTAAGTTGATTTCCATGCACAATTAAACCAAACATCTTAAGTACCAAAACCAACTTGGATGTAGAAATATGAACTTAATTGTGCTCCTATACCTGAAAGATCTTGGCTCGGTGAAGAAGCTTCATTTGACTGAGCTAAAAGGGGAAAAAAAACATGAACATCACGCCAAAAACAAAAGGGGGGTGGGGTGGGAGAACCCCGAATAAATGAATGATGGCAGTATTTCTACTGCTCTTATCAGTTTTACTGAACTACTTCATCTACAAACATAAAAATCCCTTTGAAACCAACTAACCTAGAAAATATAAAATACATACTGTGTCTTTTCTGTAGAAAGCTCTCTGACAACACTTGTGATGACAAAGGCATACCCATGAGGTCTCTGAGCAGATGGACGTCGTTTTTCTGGATCCAGTTGCGGAACACCTCAGCAGCGGCGTTTCCTTTAGTGAGAACGAGCTCGATCAGCCTGGCAGTTTGCTGCTGAGCCGAAGTCTGCGCCATCAGACCGCTGTATTCCTCTGCAGCTGTTGCGAGGAACAGGTTACCCATAAGGACACTTCTCACCACCACTGAATTCAGGAGCAACAATTCTTAAATGAAAAACATACACAACACATTCTGCTCCCTTAGATGCTCCAACACCGGCTCGACACTCTTCAGACGCTGGACCAAAGCCGCCTGGTGTCTCTTGACAAAAGTGAACCCATCTGAAACAGAAGAGGTTAAATTAATTCCCGTTTAGAGAGACTGGGGTACATTTGTACAGACGACGCACCTGACGCCATCGCTTCTGCCAACATCTCTCGCTCCTCTTCCCTCTTCTGGTCTTCAGCGCTCAGCAGGTCTGAGACCAGCTCCTGGACGGTTCTGTAGTTCTCCCCACTCGTCAGGATCTTGCTCTGGACCGTTTGCTTGACTAGACTCCGCTCAAAGCCCATCTCTAAAGCAGACTTAATGACGGGGGTGTTCATCATGACGGCGTCCTCAGACCGCTCCTCACCTGGACCCAGGTGCACCACTGGAAACAAACAGGTGGAGGCTCACTGTTACTCCCACTTGTTCGTTTTAAACTAAAATCTCAGTTTTGACTCAATCATGGAAATTTCGGCCAACTTTTAGATTTTTGACCGTTCTTTAACTCACCAGGAGGATCCATGAACTCTCTGGAGTTGTCTCCATTTGTTAAAAGCTGTCAGGAAAAAAATAAAAAATAAAACAGGAGAGCTAAATATCTGAGCGTAATTTATTTGTGGACAAAAAGTAAAAATCAAAAGACCTCAGAAGCGTAGTTTCCGCTCACCTGCTCAAACAACCGAGGAAATCGAGCCTGGATCTGGTGAACGAACTCTTGTCCTTTTTCCTGAAGCAAATATTCACACCTGAAATTCACCAGAGATAAGGAAATGTGATCAATCATGGGTCAAAGTCAGGGATGGATCACAGACAGAACATGTGGAAAAAGAAGTAATTCAATTTACCGAGGAAACCATTTTGCATGTTCCACCCATGGATCGTCTCCAGACTCCCAGCACCGCAGGCCTCCGTCGCAACAGAAACACTTCACATCATCGTTTCTCCCTTTGGCACAGGGACAAAAACACCCAAAGAAGCTTCGTGTGATGAGAGGTTTAGGGTTAAAGCAAAAAGTTTAAACATAATAAAAAAATGATCTGTTTACTTTTAGTTTCTCTGCTGGAGTTTTTAAACGATCATACAGTCACATTTGAATCAGCTAAATGGTAAACGGCCTGTATTTGATATAGCGCCTTCTAGAGTCCTGGAACCCCTCAAGGCGCTTTACAACACAATCAGTCATTCACCCATTCACACACACATTCACACACTGGTGGGGATGAGCTACGATGTAGCCACAGCTGCTCTGGGGCGCACTGACAGGGGCGAGGCTGCCGAGCACAGGCGCCACCGGTCCCTCCGACCACCACCAGCAGGCAAGGTGGGTTAAGTGTCTTGCCCAAGGACACGACGACGGTGACAAACTGAGCGGGGCTCGAACCTGCAACCTTCCGATTACAGGGCGAGCACTTAACTCCTGTGCCACCGTTGCCCACGCTGTAACGTTATATTTGCAATCAAACCCATAAAAACAAACAAGAAGGAGTTTCTACAGGAAATGACATCAGCTAAAATAAATATTGCTCTGGAGTAGAAGGTTTGTGGTTTTATTAACACATAGTTGATTTATTGTTGTATTTTAACAGAATAAAGTTGTTTTTTATTAAAGTTAAATATTATTGTGAAGCCTCATTCAGCCAATGGGCGAGCAAGTCTAGCTTAAAACACCAATATAGGGCTGATAAAATCGATGTTGCTGATCTATAGAAGTAACACGGTAGCATTTATGCTTTATTTGAGGAAAAAAATAAGATTTTGTCCTTCAAACTTTCTTTAAGAGCACATCAAAATCACCTCATTTAGAAATGATGGAGCTAACAGTCGTTTGGGTCAAATTTAGACAATGTTTGTAATCTGTGAAATTCCTGAGTTATAGCAACAAGCTAACTCCCAAAGCCGTCCATGCACTTTTTGATCTCGTCCGTACCCACATAGTAGAATCCGGCTTTCGCCAGCTGTTCAGGCCGCACGGGAATACGAGAAGGCCAGTTGACAAACGTCAACAACCTCTCCTCGCTCTGCTGCATGGATGGGTTGGACACGTTGGTGAGAGTAGGTGCTCCAGCAGAGATCTGAGGCGTTACTCCTAAATTGGCGGTTGCTGCAGCACCGGCCAGGGACACGTTGTCGGCTCTGTCCCCACGAATGAAGCGGCAGTTTGGGTAATGCCTCTGGTGCTCAGACACAGCTCTGTCGCCCGGCTCCCAGTTACTCAGCTACAAACAAAAGCACAAACCTCAGTCGTGCATCGTTCAACGCATGCCTCATCGTGGTAGTAACGTAAAAACACATACGTGTCCACCGCAGCTAAAGCAGGCCACTCTGTCCCCTTGGCCTAGGTAGTAGAAACCTGCCTTGGCGAGCTCTGCAGGAGTGATGATAGTGAGCGTCCAGGAGTGAAAGGAGTCCAGGCGGTCCTGCTCTCTACGCATGCTGGGATTATGGCACGTTGGTCTCTGGTGGGACATGTCCTCTACGCCGCGGGAGGTCAGCGGGCTGGAGGGAGGAGGCACAGTGAATGCTGTGCTTAAGAAACCTACTGCCTCTTCGCTTTGGCCTGCTGAGGGGTTAGGAGCAGCCGGGCCTGGACCAGAAAGCTGACAAAGGAAGAAACCAATCAGGTGATGTTGTAACAAAGACTCCTTATTTGTTTCAGAAGGAATCTTACTGGTAGAGCCGGGGCGATGCGGAGGGGAGAAAAGGCTGAATGAGAGGACGAGAGCAGATTGGTGGTAGATGGGAGGCTCTGGATGAAGGAGCAATTTGGAGAGAGCTGTTTGTGTTTCTCAGAGGGACAGTCGCCAGCCAGCCAGCCCTCGGCCGTCACGTTGCACCGGAAACACTGCACGCGGTCGCCCACGCCGGTGTAGAACCAACCCGCTCTCGCCAGACTCCTCTCTGTGACGGGAGACGAAGGGAATCGAGCAAAAGTGGAAATTCTGAAGAGCTCTGCAAAATAAAAACGGCACGTGTGAGATTTAAACAGAACAGATGATGCAAACCAATGAAACGCTCATACCTGAAGAGTTGTCATACTGGAGGTCTGGCGGGGGCCCGCTGCGGCACAGAGACAACAAGAACGGGTTGCTTTGGAGTTTAACGAGAGTTTCCATTGATAGGTTTTTAAGGATGGTACAAAATAAGAGATGTCCTTTACAGGGAGAGGGGTTTGAGAAAACCCGAGGTCTGTTCTCACTCAGACACACACGCTCACTCGCCACACTCAAAGTGAAACCAAGTCAAGAGTCGACAAACAAAAGGCACAAAAGAGGGGATTTTGTGGCAAGCCTGTGAAAAAGAAAGCGAGATCCCATGAAGAACGAAGAAGAAATTACCAGTCCAGCTACCGTCGCGATCACATGACATGACTCTCAAAATGTTCACCACATGACTACGTGCTTCTCAGCGACAAGCATGAATGCAGAATTACATGAACTTGAGAATATTTTCTGTAACAGTGAATATAACAAAACACTGCCATAAAACAGATCATCTACTTAAATCCAGTGACTAACCTATGGATTTAATCCTCGTGGGATCAGGATGCATCAGGGTCGGATCAACCAGGATCAGCAACGACGAAGATTTACAAACGACATGTCTAACCCCTCAGAGTTTCACATTTGGAGGGAATTTATGCATAAAAAACTTCAAACCACTCAAGCATCCATATACAGACCTGGGACTACAGGTCCTTCTCAAAAAATTAGCATTTTGTGATAAAGTTCATTATTGTCTGTAATGCACTGATAAACATTAGACTTTCATATATATTAGATTCATTACACACAACTGAAGAAGTTCAAGCCCTTTATTGTTTCTAATATTGATGATTTTGGCATACAGCTCATGAAAACCCAAAATTCCTATCTCAAAAAATTAGCGTATTTCATCTGACCAATAAGAAAAGTGTTTTTAATACAAAAAAAAGTCAACCTTCAAATACTTATGTTCAGTTATGCACTCAATACTTGGTCGGGAATCCTTTAGCAGAAATGACCGCGTCGACGCGGCGTGGCATGGCGGCAATCAGCCTGTGGCACTGCTGAGGTGTTATGGAGGCCCAGGATGCTTCGATAGCGGCCTTAAGCTCATCCAGAGTGTTGGGTCTTGCGTCTCTCAACTTCCTCTTCACAATATCCCACAGATTCTCTACGGGGTTCAGGTCAGGAGAGTTGGCAGGCCAACTGAGCACAGTAATGCCATGGTCAGTAAACCATTCACCAGTGGTTTTGGCACTGTGAGCAGGTGCCAGGTCGTACTGAAAAATGAAATCTTCATCTCCATAAAGCTTTTCAGCAGATGGAAGCATGAAGTGCTCCAAAATCTCCTGATAGCTAGCTGCATTAAAACACAGTGGACCAACACCAGCAGCTGACATGGCACCCCAGACCATCACTGACTGTGGGTACTCGACACTGGACTTCAGGCATTTTGGCATTTCCCTCTGCCCAGTCTTCCTCCAGACTCTGGCACCTTGATTTTCGAATGACATGCAAAACTTGCTTTCATCCGAAAAAAGTACTTTGGACCACAGAGCAACAGTCCAGTGCTGCTTCTCTGTAGCCCAGGTCAGGCGCTCCTGCCGCTGTTTCTGGTTCAAAAGTGGCTTTAACTGGGGAATGCGGCACCCGTAGCCCATTTCCTGCACACGCCTGTACACGGTGGCTCTGGATGTTTCTACTCCAGACTCAGTCCACTGCTTCCACAGGTCCCCCAAGGTCTGGAATCGGTCCTTCTCCACAATCTTCCCCAGGATCCGGTCACATCTTCTCGTTGTGCAGCGTTTTCTGCCACACTTTGTCCTTCCCACAGACTTCCCACTGAGGTGCGTTGATACAGCACTCTGGGAACAGCCTATTTATTCAGAAATTTCTTTCTGTGTCTTACCCTCTTGCTTGAGGGTGTCAATGATGGCCTTCTGGACAGCAGTCAAGTCGGCAGTCTTACCCATGATTGCGGTTTAGAGTAATGAACCAGACTGGGAGTTTTTAAAAGCCTCAGGAATCTTTTGCAGGTGTTTAGAGTTAATTAGTTGTTTAAGATGATTAGGTTAATAGCTCGTTTAGAGCAGTGGTACTCAACCTTTTTTCACTGATGTACCCCCGTGAAATATTTTTTTCAGCCAAGTACCCCTAATCAGCGCAAAAACATTTTTGGTTGTAAAAAAAATAAGACCTTAAATAGGTGCCTTCAGTGACTGATTTATTAAACTTTGAAACTGATAAACAAGTACAAAATTCAACCATTTGGGGAAAAAAACTATTTTGAATATTTTAAATGTTAATACTCCATAACTAAATGTAATGGAAATATTTTTCATCACTAAAATGTGATTCTAATTAATTAATTGAAAACAGTCACCATAAAACTATTTAAAACCATAAGATTACCCATTGAAAAATCCATAAATGTGCAAAACACTGCACATTTTTTGTAGTATTTCTTGAACTATTTGGAAAATATATATATATAACTAGAAATATTTAAAAAAATATATCAAATACAGGCCAAAGAAATTATTAAGCTAATTATAATTAAAGATTTGTGCTCATAAAAAGCATATCAACATAAAGTGTTCTCTTTTGGGATCATAGTATATCTGTTCTCTAAAAGAAATCATCAACGTCATTTTAAATATCAATTGCTAAAAACAAATGTATATCTCAAAATATATTTTTAAAAATCAAAAAGAAGACTGAAATCTTAACATTACTGCACTGATCGGAGTGTTTTTACAGACTTTTTAGTGAGACACTTGGGCTTGTGCTTCACTGAGGATCTTTTTCATCCTTGGTGGCAGGGAGGCAACTGCTGTGATCAAGCTCTTTTTTAGACACAGTCTGCTTCTCTGATGTACCCCCTGGAGTTTCTTTACGTACCCCCAGGGGTACGCGTACCCCCATTTGAGAAAGGCTGGTTTAGAGAACCTTTTCATGATATGCTAATTTTTTGAGATAGGAATTTTGGGTTTTCATGAGCTGTATGCCAAAATCATCAATACTAGAAACAATAAAAGGCTTAAACTACTTTAGTTGTGTGTAATGAATCTAATATATATAAAAGTCTTGTTTATCAGTACATTACAGACAATAATGACCTTTATCACAATATGCTAATTTTTTGAGAATGACCTGTATGTGCTCTCAAACCCCTCCCCCAATGCAGGACATCCCTTCTGAGGGTTTTTAAGCTTCCATACTTGAATATTAACAACCCTAATAAAATATTTTGAATCCAATTATGGAAAATGAAGTTTTCTCTTTAGATTTGTCTCGGTCCAATCTCTAGAAATAAAGAAAAGACAACATTGCGTGAACAATACCATACTAGCTACTGACTTTAAGTGATCAAATGACAGAAATCAAAGTCACCACACACGCACACACACACAGAGTTGTTGGTTGATCTTTTTGTGCCAGATTAACACTTGTTGAAAAATAATGATAGGGGAGCCATTTGGTGGCCTAAGGATTGAGGTCCTGATCCAAGTGGAGCAGTGTATCTTGAGGTCTTGTTCACAATTGAGGGAAAGTTGGAGCGCGAGATCGACAGGCGGATTGGTGCAGAGTCTGCAGTGATGCGGGCGCTGTACTGATCTGTCGTGGTGAAGGGAGAGCTGAGCCAGAAGGCAAAGCTCTCGATTTATCGGTCGATCTATATTCCAACCCTCACCTTTGGTCATGAGCTTGACCAAAACAATGAGATCGCGGATACAAGTGACCGAAATTAGTTTTTTCCGCGGGGTGGCTGGGCTCTCCCTTAGAGAAAGGGTGAGAAGCTCGGCCATCAGGGAGGGGCTCTGAGTAGACCCAGTGCTCCATCACATCAAAAGGAGAAACCTGAGGTCGTTCAGACATCTGGTTAGGATGCCTCCTGGACGCCTCCCTGGTGAGGTTTTCCGGGCATGTACAAGCAGGAAAAGACCTAAAGGAAGACCCAGGACACGTTGGGAGGGACTATTGTTTCTCATCTGGCCAGGGAACGCCTTGGGATTCCACTGGAGGAGCTGGTCCAAGTGGCTGGGGAGAGGGAAGTCTGGGCGTCTCTGCTTAGGTTACTGCCCTCGCAACACGACCCGGATAAGCGGCTGAATGGATGGATGGACAATAATGTTTCAAAAAGATAAAGATATTTTTTGACAAAGTCTGTCTGTATGTCTAATTAAAAAATAATAATAAAAAAAAGTTTTTGAATGATTTTACATTTAAAAAAAGTTTGGCTTCCAACTCAGGTCCAGCAATGGGCGTGATGATTATATGGTACAAAGGTATGCCACATCACTCTTTTTACAAACCTACTTGTTTAAAATTCATATCAAGACACAGTGTATCAAAGATTTTTAGATAAAAAAAATATTTTCATTGGTATATTTATATTTTTAAATCACTGAAATGCAAATTGTTTTCGTTTTTCTCAAAGGTACTTTCCAGACCTTTAATGTGAAAGGTTACAACTAAGTACTTCCTTTGTCTTCGTTTTGATTTACAACAACAAAATCACTTGAAAGAATGATGGATGATAACAAAAATGAGAGTGAAATGCTTGTAAATATGAGGGTTCTTTCCCTTTAAGCTGCATTTAAAAACGGAGACGCATAAAAAACAACCAACGCCTTAAATTGTGATCTTCGGCCAATATTTGCATGCTAACCCTGTTAGCCGCTAGGCCATAACAGTGACATTTTAGTTAACTGCACGCTGCCAGCTCACTGATGCGTTTCAGCGAAAAAGAAAATCAAATATCGATGTGAAATCCAGCGCACAAAATACTCAAAAGTGATTAAGAAGCCTACATTGTTTTCAAAGTATTCACACACACGCACTTACCTCTTCGTCTTCTCGGAAAGTCCCGAGAATTCTCGTGAATACAACGCTACGTCACCTTTTCCGCTTCCGGTTTTGCTTTAATTCAAAACAGAACAGAAAATTAATGAATTTACTGTAAATCACCTGGAAATCCCTCAGATTCTTCTGCCACAGTCTGAATTTTATGGCAGATTTTTGCCAGAATCAAAAAGGAAATAATGTCGATAAAACTATTGCTTGACCTTCACAATGAAAAAATAAAATAAAAATAAAATTCATTTATATTTTTTGATAAATAAAAACAATCATCTGGACAAAAAAATAATAATTATTTTTCTTAAATGCTTTACTACAAATTAACACAAAGTATTTATTTTAGCTTGTCCTAAACATTAAATAAAGATTTGTTTGAATAACAATTAAAATAAATAAAAATTTGTATTAATAGGAAGAAAATGTTTAATTATTCAGTTAGAACCTTACTTACTACCTAAGCTGCAATCACTAACCTTACTTCAGGTTCTCAAATAAACAAAAAAGCATTTCTCACAGAACAAGGCACTCACTGGTGTTGTGAAGACAGCTCAGAAGCTTGAACATAACTGAGAAAACCTTTGAATAAATTTACTTGTTGGGATTTCCCTGACGTCACCGAGCCACTCCTACATAGATGACTCATTTCCTCCCTCAAAGGTGGGGAAGTGTTTTTTTTCCCACCACAGCTATATGGTATTTTTGTTTAACCTCGCAATGCACATGTCCCATACTAAAGCAAATGCTTATTTGCCATAAGAAGATGTTGTATTGCTTATAGACATAGATATCTATGAGTTACTTCACCTGCTTCCACATCCCCTAATTATGGAGCTAGCCAATCAGGGTCCTGGCCTCCCATAAAAGTGTCACCAGGGCAGGTGCGATTATGCTCCTGATTGCTGCCAGTCCAT